AAAATATTATTATTTCCCATCTCTAATCGATTTAACTTGCACCTGACCGTCGGGAGGTGATTACCATCCATCCAAGCTCTCTCTTCAAGACTCAAAGGCAGCCCACCTCCCTCGTCTAGTCGCATCTGTTTTTCGCCCCCTTCATCTTCTACTCACCAGAGCTATACCATACAACTTAAAGCATCTGGATTTCGGATTTTCGATCTGCTAGTATTCTCCACTGGGGATTTCTTGGCTCCAGCGGTTGAATCGTGCAGCTGCTCGTATTTCCACGTGCGGAACCTCCTTCTCGACATTCCCCAAGTTATTTTTATACCGGGGGGGATCTTCTATAAACATCTATAAACCTACTTATCCCTGTGATCTTCACTATCCAAGAAAGAGTTGCTCAACGGTTGTACCTCCTCCCTACTGCGTGACCATCGATCCCTCTTATCATTGTCACCCCACCGACGCCTCTGATCGCCTTACTCTTCGGTCGTGGAAGACCTTCCCTTTCACTCATTTTCTTTCGATTAATCATTCAGAATGGCCGGTCCTGGCGGTGGTCCTCCTCGCAAGAGCCATACCAAGTCCCGGAATGGGTGCAAGACATGCAAGAAGCGCCATATCCGCTGCGACGAGACCTTCCCACAATGGTATTTCTTGTTCTCTCATCTAACTCAGAGTCGCACATTTCTAATCTTGCTTTCACCAGTCGCAATTGCACCAAGCATAATTGTCGCTGTGACTATCAAGATGTCGCAGCTACCCAAACTCCCCCGAACCCACGGCGAGGGCCTGATCTACTCATGTCTCCAGCGATCGAGATGGAGATCGACAACTGGCATCGCTCCGGTGTTCCTCCCTATTCTGAATTGATGCAGTGCCCTCGGTCTGGCTGGACAGGACTGTCGCGCGCAGACCTGCGTCTAATTCACCACATTATCGGCCTCTCGATCGATCTACATCGGCGTGGACTGGGTGCCTGCACCGTGTGGGCGCAGAAGATGCCTAAGTGAGTCTTAAAGCAGAGATATAAGATTAGATCATGAAAGCTAACAGCAAATCTCCAGCTTCCTCGCTATCGCGCTATCAAAGGATTTTGTCATGAGCGCCATCCTTGGCCTCTCGGCTTTCCACCTTGGCTGCCTCACACGGGATCAGGAAACTAAGCAACTAGCCCATCACCATAAAGTCTCATCTCTACGTGGGCTTCAAAATGCTCTGGGCTCCTTCTCAAAGGAGAACTGTGATGCAATCCTAGCTGCGTCTATCCTTCTCTCATGGCAAACAACCGATCGGTGAGTACTCATCAAAAGGTCCCTCGCCCTACATCCAGCTAATCCCCCTTCAGCCAAGAATGGATATCTCTGCAGCATAGTATCTCAAATGTTCTCGACTCAATGTATCCGCTCTGGAGACAAGAATCCGAGCTCGCGCAATTAGTCGAAAACCACCGCTCTCTCCATGCGTCAGATTACCCACTGCTCCCGGAGGAGGACTTAAGTCAGCTTGACCAGACCATCCAGGCGCTGCAGATCGTCCAGAGTCGTGTCTCCCACAATGCAGAATACTCCTCGCGCATGGTAGAGTTGATTGAATTTGTGAGACAGTTCCGCAAAGACTACTCTTCCCAAACAGCCGAGCAGTCATTTGAGCGCATTCAGGTCCTCCGACAATGGCTCTTCTGGAATCCTTCTTCTATGCTGAGAGGCGGCGATTCCGAGCCTAGTGCTCTTGCAGTCCTCGCTCAATTCTTTGCAGTCGGTGTCGTGCTCGATCGCTTCTATCCTGAGATGGGTGCATCATATCTCGCCGCATCATCTGTCGGACCTATAGAAGAGATCTATCGTATCCTCGCCACGTACAATACCACTGGTACATTCAATACCGAGTTGCCCCTGGCAATGTCCTTGATGGATTTGCCTCGCCATGCTATTGCCCGACACCACAGCCTCCTGACTTGGTCACCACGCTCGTCAATCGAGCACTACTCTCCTGCCCCGCCAAGCCCATATCACGGTCTGACCGACTACTCCATCACCTCCCCCGAATCCGCTTCTCCGTCATATATGGCCTATACCCCACCTCTCCAGTCTCCCCCGGCAGTCACCGTTGCCGGCTCCCCCTTTCAACTCGCAGACGGCTACGTTACCGCTGCCTCCTCACATACCTTATACCCACCATCTCCACAACTGCTTGATAACCACGACACCCAGTTTGGTCTCTCTGAACTGAGTCATGTGATTTCAACTTCATCTGCATATACCCCTCCTTATGGAAACCCCGTTCTTTGTGGAGATATGCCTCGCGCGGATGCCTCGCTTGGCCTCAACATGAATCCATATCAGCAAACACAGCATTTTGAAATGGCAGGTCTTGTTACACCTGAGCCCTGTTGGACATGAGTTTATGAAAGCGGAAACTGTTTGAAACACTTTGATGTGTAAAATTAAGGAGTTTGATTTCTCGGGTTTGGATTTAGGAAACGTCCTCTTCCCTCTTTACATTCTACTCAACTCTGTTCTATACTGGTTGGCCTGTCTTCGCTTTTCTACATTTGATTTATGGCTTTCTTTCTTTCTTTGGTCTGAGCATGAGCGTTGGTGGGGATTTAATCCCCGCCAAAGGATGGTTTTTACTTAAGTGATATACCCGGTTTAATTACAAACCTATTGTTGGCATGATTGGAAGCATCTGTATGTTAGTTTTGATTTCTATTGAAAATTTATTCCACCCATCTGCATGAGGAATAGAACTCGGTATTAGCGTCAAAGTCGCACATACAGGTTCATAACCCCTCGCATAGACAACATTCCCTCAAAACAACCAGAGTATCCCCCGCGTGCAGCAGATTCAATCCGTTACTCTTTTCTAAACATAGAACTAAGTTACATCACCCCCCTCATCTCCAAGACTGCATACCAAGCCAGCCTAACGCGAAGCATTCAAGATCGCCAGGAACCGATCCCAAACTCGCGATGGTGAGTATACTAAGAATAGCCCCCGGGCGAGAATTAAGCTACGATCCACAGTTCTCATTGGCGCTTTCAGCCCCGAGCCTTACTTGAACCCCATAACGCTAATTTCCGCTCAGGAGCTGGGTCAGATGGGAAACCTCGTATTCGGTTGCATCCACGTTCCCCGCTTGGATCGTGCATTTCGCGTGGCAAGTTAGGGGTGGGCCGCTGCTGTATTTAGAAAATGTGAGATACGAAGCCTAAATCCAATGAATGCTGTCATCTTCTGGATCATGCATATATACATCCCTTCCTCGTCTTACTCTAATCCGTTGATGGATTCCAAGGTTTGATTGGGTCGTCGGTTTCACCGGGCCAAGCCTAGGAAGGGGGGGGGGGCTGATCGGCAAGATACTGATCATCACTAGATACGGAGTACACATGTACATGCCTTCTAAATTTATCCCTTCGCTTCCTTTTTGAGTTGTGCGGAATCCCGTGCGTTCGGTTTGGGTTTTATCGGGGAGAGTGTGCGAGACCGTTGGTGTTCGCTTGCTTCATGCTTTTCGGACGTCTACGATGGCACTCGGTTCTTGAGTTTACAATGTGGTGTTGATCTTGGAGGGATTGGGTATACAGTGATGAGGGGTTCAGAAATATTCGAACTTTATTTTCCCTTTCGTCATACCTCTCATCATAGCGGTCACAGGTATGAATTTTCTTCTTGACATTACTGAGAAGCCACGTACGTACTAGAGTCATCACATATAGAGCAAGGGAGCTGGTAATTGCAAAAGCGCAAGGTAAATAGCAAAAACTCCATTTCCGGTTCGCGTTGAAAATACATTGATAAAAAAAAGGAGACAAAACGCAAAAATAGGATATAAAGGGGAATCACGGTTTGAAATAGGCATCACCGCGCGTTGAGTCTCTCCGACATGAAGACCATTGACACAATAAATCTTGAGCTAGTTGGGGAAAAAAAAGTTGGATAGCGAAAGCTGAGAGAGAGGAGGCGCTGGCAGAGAAATCAAAAGGCGAGTGTGATAAAATAGAAATAGCAAATAAGAGCACGCAAGGGTACAAGGTGGTGATGATAAAATATAGATAGTGGACAGAAGAATACGCTGTGTAAGTGCTTGAACATTTACTACAGTAAGAATACAAACTTGACGATGACCTGAAATGCAAATCCCCCCAAGGGAAACAACAAGTGGAAAAAGGAATGGCAAAAGTGCGCCCGAGTCCCTATGCAAAAAAAAACAAAGTGGTAACAAGAGATAAGGGAAAATATAATCGCATAACACAAGAGCCAGAGATACTGAATAATAGAGACATCTAGCAGTGATCAGAATAAGGCTCAAGAACTGGTGGAAAGCGGTTGAAAATGCGAAGGTTTTCAAGATAATGACTACGATGACATGCATTGGATGGTTTTAACACAGTCAGACGCGGGTCATTGGGCACTGTGGCTGAATTCTAGCAGATTCAAGGTTCAACAAAAGTTTTGAGCTAGTGCTCAATTGTAGAGAGCCTACTTAATATTCCCAAAGAAGAATGACAAGAATACCCAGGGCCACAGGGGGATATTGAAAACTTGAAGGAAAACAGAGACCTCTATTCTAAATTGTGGATATTCTTTGCAGGGCCTCAAAGAGGTCCACCGATTCTTTGATACAGACTAGAAGAACTACTTCTCCAATTTAAAGGTCTCCTGGGCCTTCTGCTCCCAAGGTTGTTTGACGAGGCTTGCTTTTAGCCATAGTTTTATTTCTGAACAGGGATATCAAAGCATTCGTTTACAGATATGCTCTTCAGAATGATTGTTTGTTCAGCGTACTACTACCTAGGTAGTACTAGTGGGACTTGAGACCGAATTTATCAACGCGTTGCTCTAGGAAAACTCACTATGCGACATACTTCCTCAGAGTGGGCATCGAGACACCAGGCTACCCAGGCGCCATTGACCAAAGATAACTAAAGCCAAACTGTATACCTAGGTAGGTATACATTTGCCCGTATTTGGTGCAGACACAACAAGAGTACCTAGGTATAAAAATGAGCCACAAATCCAAGCAACCACCCACAATCGGTAAGCTCAACATCGCTATGAGCTTGGGTGCAAATGTGACTCCCACTGAAGAGTCAAAAAGGGGACGGAAACAAATGACATTGGAAAGAAGCTCCCGCACAGATATAATGCACTGGATATCTTCGTGATACCGCACCTACGACCCGAGAAGGTGGGCGAGTTCATCAACGAGGGACACTTGCATACTGTATCCTATGGTGGTGCCATTCTCGTCTATAGACATGCCTCTAGATTTTCACATCACCATATGTTCGAAGGGCCGAGTGACGAAGAAGATCTTGAAGATAATGGGCCGGATGCCCTCTCAGCTCCTCAGCATGTTGATAATGTCCTTACGTGATCGACGCACGTGATCTATGACATAACACGAATTTGCGGCATCAACAAGCGTCGCCGAGCTTGGAGCTTCACCAACCCCCGCAAACCTTTCATTCCGTCACCGAATTTCCAATCCCATTTTGAAACACTATCCGAGAAACCTCCATTGATCATAACTTCATTCATCAGAATGGGCGACGCAGGCGGTTGGAGCACCATCGAGTCTGACGAGGTACGTACGACCCTTGGGTTGTCTTTACAACAGCTAACAATGACTAGGGTGTATTCACCTCTCTCATCGAGACGCTCGGCGTACAAAATGTTCAATTCGAAGAGCTCATTTCACTGGACGCAGACACAATACGCTCCCTTGGGTATGAATGCACAAGCCTTCTTTACCCCATCGCCGAGCTTCCAAGCTCAAACTCAACCAAACGAGGAACACAAAACTAACAGACCCTCCCCAGTTCCGTCTACGGAGTAATCTTTCTATTCAAATGGACCCGCGAAGCAGCCGGTGCCCGCGCCGAGGCCCCAATTGACGGCACATACGACGAAACCGCAACAGAGAACAACGTCTTCTTCGCCGCGCAAACAATCCAAAACGCCTGCGGCACACAAGCCATTCTTTCCGTGATCCTAAACCACGACAACCCGCCCGCCCCTCTCCCCGCGATCCCGCTCGGCACCGAACTCGCCTCCTTCAAAGACTTCACAACGGGCTTCCCGCCGGAGCTCCGCGGCGAGGCCCTGTCCAACTCGGAAGCTATCCGCACCGCACACAACACTTTCGCAAAGTCTAGCCCGTTCGCTGATGAGACGACTAGGCCGCAGGACGAGGAGGGTGGGGATGTTTTCCATTTCATTGCTTACACGCCTGTTAATGGGACGTTGTATGAGTTGGATGGATTGCAGCCGCACCCTATTAGTCACGGACCGTGTGATACGGCCTCGTTTCCTGAGACGGTGATTGAAGTGCTCCGCAAGCGCATTGCTAGATATCCGCCTGAGGAGACGCATTTCAATCTTATGGCTGTTGTGCAGGATCCTCGGCCACGGGCGCGGGAGATCGGGGACGCGGAGACGCTGGAGCGGGAGGAGAGGAAGAGGGCTGCGTGGCAGTGGGAGAATACTCTACGGAGGTGGAACTTTGTTGGGTTTATTGGGGAGATGATGAAGGGGGTTGCTGGGGCTAAGGAGCGGGATGGGAAATATGATGAGTGGGTTGATGCTGCGAAGGCTGAGACAAAGAAGAAGATTGAGAGCAGGAGAGGGGCTTGAGGATATTGTCCCACCTCTGAAGAGGTGCCTTGGTTTTGAGTACTATTGGGGTGCCCTCTACTGTGAACTTTCTTTCGGACTGATTACAATGCCGTGGCAAGCGCTGTGCATTCAATGACGTCTACAATGATTTACAGATACCCGTGATGAGCAAGGAATGATTCGAAACATTATGATCATTGATCTATGCATGCATTTAAATACAGACATCCACTTCGTAATTCATGATCATTTAAGAGTCTTGCTCAATAATCAACTGCTCGAGCTTTAATATGCTCCACCATAGCGGGTGGTAGGTCATCTTCCTTCACCAGATTCATCGCCAATAAGTCAGACCAGAAGAACAAGGCTCTGTCCTGGGAATAAGCCAAATAGTCAAATTCCTCTTCTTCCTCTGCAGCTTCTCCCTCAACAGTGGGAGTCTTGACGCCCTCCTCCTGCTCTTCCACCATGCCAGGTGTCTTGGCCTGCACGATACCCCAGGCCACCCACTGTGCCGAGTTGATTACGCGCCACATCCGAGTCTGGTGCATGAGGAACTTGATCTCGGCGTCGAGCGCCTCTTCGTTTGACCGTTCGGCCTGGGCCTGTTGCAAGCTAGACTCAGGGCAGTCATCAAGGCTCAAGGGAGTGATAGAAGTTGCATTACGAGCGCGCATGGTAGGAGTTGCTTGTGGTGAAGTAACTCCGTTGCCGACTTGTGGGCGATGGGTCAGATAGGTCGACACGAATCGATACTGGTCCTCTGGCTTAGGGTAGTAGCGAGTATTACAGGCCCATGGCCGGCATTCATCGTGGTAGTTGTAGCACCACTCAGTCTATACAGGTTAGAATAGCGGTTCGAAACCCAGGGCAAGACGAAGGTGGGACTCACAAAGTGGTTGGCAAACTCAAACCCGGGAGTGTTAGCTGAAGAATATTCAAAATCAATGACGACGAGCTGCTTGTGTTCGTTGGCAGGGAGCAGAAGAGGTGACTGTGTAGCCGGCTCCATTCGAAGCAGATTTCCATATTGAGTCTGGGTACATCAATTAGTATGGTGTAATGACACATTTGTCGTGAAGAAGCAAAGTACTTACGTCGTTATGAGCGAATATTAACTGCCGCTTAATCTCACTCAACCCACCACAGCTAGCTAGCAACCAAACCCGGTAATTTTCCACAGCCTTGCGGAAAACTGCCCATGGCACACCGCAAACATAGCCGCGTAAGCGCCACGGTTCCAGGGCAGCCTTTGTCTGGTTTTGCGGGGAATCTAGTTCTTTATCCAGCCAAGTTGTAACTTTCTCACACCGGTCCACCCACTTGTCCCAGTTCTTGAAGACCACTGGCCCTCCTTCGCGCTCCTCCTCGAGAAGTTCAATACCATCGTGCAATTCGCGCATTCGCTTGGCAATTTGCTTGGCCGTATCTGGGATACGCAGCTCCTTCGCCGTCAGGGGGCGAGCCTCGAAATACTCTTCAAACCGTCCATTGCGGAAGGTTCCAAGTACACGGGGGCCGATGTTCTTTCGGCCAAGGCGACGTAGGATTTGCAGCTCCTTCTCTCGATCAATCAAATGATCGACCTGGGGACCGTAGATGCGAAGCAGAAGCTTTCTGTGGTTCATTAATTAAGAACTGTTCATAAGGGTTGACACGTCACAACTTACGGTGGGGGTCTTCTTGGGACGATAGACGAGCTACTACTGGACGTAAGAGGAGGCTGATTCTTGGGTGGTCCAACCACATAGATAGCGTTCGTCATAGCTCCACTGAGACGAACGACTTCGATATCCCCGGCATTCTCCATTGAAACTTTGCGCCAACCTCGCAGTTGTAGTGTATGCGCCAGGCGCACAATTTCAGTCTTAAAGGTGACCCAGGCCTCACGACCCTTGGCGCCCTTCGATGAAGAGTTACTATCGGCGACTTCCTCCTCTCCTGCACCACCGCTATAGGCAAGGGTCTTGGAGTTATCGAGCGAGGCATCTACGCCTGGCACAGGGGCTTCAAGATCAGTATACTCGGATTCAGAGGCGGAGCCTCGGCGGAGACCTTTCGGGCGGCGACGAGAGACCCGCTTCGCAGTCTGTCGAGAGACAGCACTATGTCCGACATTCGCGTATTGGAGGAGAATGTTCTCCAGTCTGTCCAGTGAAAAGGTACTCTCTGAGCTGCGATGTTGCTCTCCCGAAGACCGCTCCGCAGTCTCAGCAGCACCATCTGAGGGGTTGGAAACTCCCTCTCCTCGTCGTGCCTTGCGTGTGCTCCGCCTGACCTTCTCATGCTGCAGCCATTCTGAAACTTGGTGGAACAAGTTCCCTTGTTGATCCTCGTCTGTCTTGATAGCTTGGTCTGTGTCTTCTTGCGCCGGGTCAAGCTTGCCGCTCGACTGGCTACTCAAAGCGGAGGGCATCGGGGTGGGGTGAATTGGAGGGCGCGCAGTAGCTTTTTGTAGAGGCACTCGATGTTGTTTCAATGTGGATGCGTCGAGAGAGCTAAGGCTTGTTCCGCTCGATAGGGACTTTCGAAAGGAAGGGATATTCAAGCCTGTGCCTGAAATAGGCGGTAAGTCTACCGGAGGGGGTTAGTCACAAGGTCTAAGGCTTTCGTTTTGTCTCTTCTTCGTCGTAGAAAATATGCGTTGGGGATAATGCGGCGTCACAGCTCATAACCCCCGAGTGACGGGGGACAGAAGAGTGGAAGTGGATGCAAAGGGACGTATCATACAGAGGGGGGAAATGCAGGTCGCTCGGGCATTGGGGAAACGCATTGGGAAAGGCAAGGTCGAGCCGGTCGCAGAGGGAGAAGAACAAGAGAGGGCCTACCTGCTACTTCGGGGTCGGAGCCAGCGCGATCCTCGGTGAGGGATGGCATGTGCGTTTAGCGGGGGCCAAGTCAAATCAAGTGGGGACCAAAAGAGTACAGTCGATTCAAAGGAAGATCTGGGGGGTTTTTTCTATCGAGCCCAACCTCACAAATATCGTGAGATAGTAATCGTGGAGGCGGCGAGGGGCAAGTACTTTTTTGAAGCGCCGGAGAAAAAAAAGTTCGCGGGGCAGAGCGAACCAACACGGAAACGTTCCAGCGGTCAGGGAAACTTCCAACGGAATTCCTTGGGTCTGCGGTCCAACCTTATGCTGAGTAGGAAAGTGAGCACACACAAGATAGAGTAAATCGGTTGATTCGTGCAATGAATTAGGAGAGGACCTCATCAATTAATACCAGAGGAAAAAGTGGCGAAACCACGCTTATCGTGTGGCTCAAAAGTGACCCCGTGACGTTGGTGTGGGCTGGTGGATCTGACCATTCCAGGGGTATTTGCCATTTGCATTTGTATTTGTATTGACGTTGACATGGATAGTTGGGCATGCCAACCACTTCGCCCAAGGTCCCTGCACTATAGTTGCGGTCTACTATCGTGAGTAGCCGGGTCCAATAGGTCCACTCATCCAGAATGATGTGGTATCACCCGAGATAAGAGTGTAGGCTGCATTCCATACCCATCCATGGCCATCCATGACCATCCACCTGTCTTGTCTTGTCTCATGTGGGTGCCCCCCCTAATCGTGGAGGCGGCGCGGGGTGGAACTGGGCGAACGCGATAGCAACTATCGATACACAGGCGCAGATGGCTTTGTTTCTTCATGGTCGCGTGAGGGAAACGATAAAGGATTGGGCCGATTGGCTCTCTGGGGACGCCATGGGAAGCTTCTTCATAGCCACTAGCATTCGCAAGTCTATTGGGGAAATGGTCGACCAGTAGTCTGGGGGTGTAGGGGTAGCGAGGTGCCCGTCCGGGGCTGGTGATTGTGGAGCCGATCCCTAGGGTCGAACTTTTGGACGTGAGTATCATATTTGCCGAGGTCGACTTATAATGGAACTCAACTAGCCCACAGTATTCGATGGATGGCCCACAATGCTGAAGACGAGAGAGGTTGTAGTTGAAGCAAATGCACGCGACTGCACTTCTGGTGTGATGAGGGGTGCTAAAAATTACCATACGCGTATTTTAAGTGACCAACGCCGCTTGATGGTTCGAGTATTTTACCATTTGGTATTGATACGAGTGAAGGGGAAACATCTATACATTTATGGATTATATCCAAAGAAAAGAGAAATTGAATTATAATCCAAGCCTTGGTTCATACAGCTTCATTATTTTCGTGATTCTTCAAGTTCATGACGGAGAACGCAGGTCAGGAAAAGGTATTGACTTCTGCGTCAACTGCATCCGACCTTCTCCGTCAAAATATCGTAGTGAGTAGTGCAACCAGTTCAAGGGTTTCCCCTTCTCATCCAGTTCCGACGAGACGCCGAAACTGCATGTACGGTCTGTGGCTGCCGGTATGCATCCTGGTTGGGCGAGCAGCTGCTTCACCTCGGCAGCACTGCGAGGAGTCGTCGTAGGAGTCTCCTCCAAGGTGATAATCACAGCTACCGCATCCGCAGCCGGTCCACACATGAATAGTCCCTGCGCCGGCGGAGCTTGCGACAGGAAAAAAAGAGCCCGGCGACGAAGTTGTGGAAATGGACATTTAAGAGCTGTGATGAAAAGAGGAAGAAACACGCCCATCTCAAACATGAAAGGGGGCTGTTTATCATCGACGAGACGAGTCGATGCAATCGCAACAGGTGCAAGATCAAGGATCTGAGCGAACTCGGTTTCGTAGGCGTCATATGCTGTCTGATCTGGATCAAGACATGTTTTGATCTCGATCAAAACGCCCGTATAGGTCATAAGGAGTGCGGCGGCACCGTCGTTGGTCACGGCATCGCCGGGAAGACTTGATGTTTTCATGCACTCTAGAGAATCAAACAGGCGATACCAATTTTCAAGGCGCTTTTCCAAGTGATTTTGTCGAGCCACAAGCCCCGGCGACCGATTTCGGCGGGCGTCATGCGTCTGTTTCCAGTAGGCCTTTACATCGTCATCAAGGTTTTTCATCTCTGCCACGATTCCACACAACACATTCCTTGCATCGTCGATGGACACAAATCCAGCGTACGAATTTATTGGATTAAGAGCCCAACACTCTTTTGGTCCTCCCTCGACGATGAGAGCCCACGTTCCCAACCGGCGGAATATCGGTAGAAGAGGAGATAGCATAGGGGTCGAATTTGCGCCGAGCATAATTTGCCACCCCTGTTTATAAAGATTGACAGCTGCTTTCCTGTTCCCTTGTAATAGCTCAATTGCGATGAAAAGAATGCAGCTGATCAACAACACATTCAAGTCCGCAGAGCCTTGGTTGATGCGTTGTTGGAAAGCAGCGAGTGAGCGTGAGTACCAAACAAGCGCCTCCCGATGATGGCGTTGCCGCACTACAGCTGGGCCATTGATCATTTCCATAGCCGGAGACTCATGAATAGGAGGCCGCTCATAGAGGGTACTTAGCGAAATCACTGCGTCCCAGACCGCAGGTTCCAGGCGGCAGATCTGCAGGACAGAGCCTTTCCAGAAAGAGACATCAAGAACACCCGAAAGCGACGGACCAGCTCGATGAAAGTAATACTCAAAGGCGCGTCTTTCTCGCAGCCCTGAGTGCGATGAAAATGTAAACTGTAAGGGTGGTGATTGTGTGGTTCTTGGTTCGGAAGCAGTGCTGTAGCGGCACTGTCGACCTGTGCTTATGCACCTCACACAATGTGGTTTTTCTTCCCCACAGCGAACACGCCGGATCCTGCAAAGGGCGAGTTAGTGAAACTTCGTATAGGAACTCCTTTGATATCTAGACCCACTTGCAGGTATTGCAGCCGGTCTTAGACTTGGTGCTGCCAATACGGCCAGACCGCTTCGTTGGAGGATTCATGGCGGAGACCAAAACTCGACGAGTCAGACCATCGAGTCCCAGGGCTGTCTATTCCCGCATATTCTGGAGGACAAAGGTCGGAGATCCCACCAAAATTCAGCAGCAGCTGTAAGAGCGGGAAAGTGGCATAACGCGCCAGGCTTGGATATCTTTTCAGCTATTGCAAAGGGGTTTTGGCTGCGTTCGATATCAGGTTACGTCAGCGAAAGTGCCAGGCTTCCGCAACCCCGTTCGATAACTACTAACTAATTAGTACTAGAAGGGTAACATGAAGAGTTACGAAATCATATCTTTCGCGTTCGGAAACCTTTGCTTTATACTCGGTTTCGTGCCTTCAGAAGGTTCATTTGTCTTGTTTTATTTGTTTCCATGTCTCATGATTCGCATGCTAGATACCAGCTACTATGGTCGATTTGCACGTATCTTTACAATCGTAATCTGCTTGATTTCTTTTGTTTTTCTTTTGTAAGACGTTTGGGAATTTCCTCTGGGAGCCGGAGAAAAATTTTACTTGCGACCGCTGATCGGTGGGGTAGTCTACACTGCGAATAGAATCGAAGAGATCATATAGTTGGAAACACCAAGTCCGGTGGTTTTTGTATTTGCTCATCATACGTTCGGCATATCGTAATAATTAAAGGAGAGAATCGCTATGAAGACGTGAAAGGGGATATATAAGGATCTCAACAAGACTAAATTATGAATCTGTCCGGCCAGATCCGGATCGTAGACCAAGTTTCAATCAAGCCTTGTGAATGGTGAAAGGTCCCTCAGCATTGAACAGGGTGGGCATCTATCAAAGCACAGTCAGCATATGTCCCTTCCTCAATTAGTAAGATAGGGGTATAACGTACCTGGGGAGCAGTGTCGAGACTGGTACTGAGTCTCAGGTACCACACGTCCTGGTTCTTCACATTTGGCAGCTTGGCGGGGATCTTGACATCGAAGGCATTGGCGTTAGCCGGGATGTTGTCGGCAATCTTGATTGACTGGTCGAAGTTGATGGTATCAAGGTTGCGGACAGGGTTGTTGTACAGCCAAATGCTGTACTTGCTAGTTGGGTACTTGGTCAACGGGTCGCTGCAGTGTGTAGTCGGCTGACGGTTGAAGCGGATGTGAACGGTCTGGCCCTCGGTCACGGTGGCGTAGTCGGGAATTCCTTGGAATACGTTCAAGCAAGAATAGTCGCGCTTGCCCCATGCTATTCCGAATTAGTATCGAGTGGCATGTCTGGGTGTGCGCTGATGGCTGGTTTGGGACTTACGCTGGTTCTTATCGAACGCAGCTGTTGCGGTGGCAGCGAGGACAGAGGTGATGATGGCAGCCGAGAACTTCATCTTGATCGATTGATGATAGAGGATAGGGTGACTGGAAGAAAAAAAAACAGCAGGTGTAGTATGAACAATTGAATTGAATACGAGGGGTCTCAGGGGGTTTTTATAGGCCATTAATCCAATTATAGCGTCGGGTCGGCAGCCTGTTTCTTCAACACACCTGACTGACAATGTTTCACTCTGCCAGCTCCACAATTGCCACGATTGAGATGATCGTGGCTTGGCGCCACTGGGGGATCAGCAGGGTCAACAGGGTCCGTCGTGCCGAGCAGGCCGCTGAGCTGACTTCAGCTGTGTGGAGGAAGTCCGGGGCGCTCGAATTCGTATTGAGAGACACCAAGAAATATCTAGCTACTAGAGAAACATCTTGTGATCTAGTATGAGAATAGTATATGTGCTTGGTTTCGATGGGCTTTCAAGAGTTGCTGATGTTGGGAAATATTCTCCGCCCCGCACAGACGGTGAATCGAAGTCATACTGCATTTTAAGGCACCTTTACCAGTCACACGCCTTAGAACTTATTTATAATTTTCGTTAAATCCCATTAGCAAATAAACCAACATTCAAGGCTTTATTTCTGCGTAGACAGAATATCAGGCCACTTAGCTTTCTTACACTCAAAGTCACGGCGAGCAATGCTCGGCCTCGGATAGAAATTATAGAACAAGAGGGAAAATCGAAGAGGCATTTCTCAATATTGTATGGAATATGGAGCAGTAGGATTCAAATGTTAAAAAATTGCTTTTGAGTTCTCATAATGAAAGCGAGCTCATAGCTTAGCGTTTGACTTGACACCTGCAATGCACTCGATTTCTACGTCAGTTCCCAGTGGTAGCTCCTTCACACAGACGCAAGTACGTGCCTGTTCGAGTCAGCTGGTGTTAAGATTTCCAAGTATCGCTTGGTTACTGTTAGTAGTAGGTAGAGCAAGAACTCACTGGCATAGGCTGTGAAAATGTAGCAGCATATACTTCGTTGACAGCACCAAAGTCACTCATGCTAGTCAGGTAGATGTTGCACTTGACAACATTGTCCAAGCTTGTTCCGGCTGTCTCCAGCACGGAGCGAAGGTTGGAAAGAATTTGACGCTATAGGATAATTAATATGGTGTTCCATTCAAAATCATCTCCAGGGCTTGGAAATATCAAACGCACAGTTCGGTCCTGGATAGAGCCTTCAACCATAGCCCCAGTATCAGGTCGGCAGCCAACTTGGCCGGAGCAAAAGAGAAAATCGCCCATCTGAATGGCTTGCGATAGGAAAGGTGGAGGTGCCGGAGCGCCGGTTGACTTGATCGCAGTTTTGGGGATAGACATTATGGATGGAATTGCTGGCCGGCTGACTTCAATTCGGTCAAAGAAATGTGAGATAAAACCAGAAGGTGTCAGTTGGAAGACAGAGGGTACTGGGACTTATAAATAACGAAGCGGAGAAGCTTCAAGTTGGAGTGTATTATTAATTCGATGAAGTGGATCTGGGGGGGGAAAGGTATGTTTTTGAAAGGCGTGAACGTAAGGCGTAGAGTCCCCAGCCCCGCGCCGACCCCGCACCGATTCCGCCGGAAAATGTTACATTCGGTGAACGACCATTGTGTTTCAGGGAATATTTTATTTACTAAGTCGACTTCAATACGTTTATTATTTAGTTGGTGTAGAATAAAGAGCTCTCTCTCTCTCTCTCTTCTCAAGAGGAAACGTCAGAAAGGAAAGGAATATTGCAAACATTAGGAATTGGACTTGTATGATATTTTGTTTGTATAACAGGTCCACGCCTTTGCTATCTCAAGGGATAGGTAAAGATCCCTCGACATTGGATGAAAGCCGCTCGTAGTTCCTACTAGATAGGAAGTTCCAAGATATTGCAAGAAACAGCGCTCGTTTTCTTTGTGTAAAAGTACATTACTTGCCAGTATTCATAGTGAAACCACTTTTAGCTAGCACGAGTTGAGCAAGGGAAGAGTTTGCCTCACAATCAAGGCCCATGGCCCTGGCACGTCGGACAATCCAACCATTAATATACTGGATCTCGGTGCTCCGGCCCTTAAGAATATCTTCTCGCATGCTGCTAGAATTCTGTGCAGTTTTTTCAATTGTATCGCGTAGGACAGATTCCAAAGACTCTGTCGAGAACTGGTCTCGATCAAGCGACAGATCCTGCATCTCGGGGAGACTTTGGAAAACAGAAGAGATCTCTGCCAGAATTTGATGCTGCAAGGGCTGGATATCGGGATTATCTTTGATGCGCCCGTTTCGAACGTCAAGGAGTGCCGTGAGAGGGTTCAGCACACAGTTAGATGCCAGCTTCAAAAGTTGGAATCGGAATAAATCCGGCCATTCCATTTTCTCACAATGAAGAGCAGTAGGCTGAAGTAGAGTATCTAGGAGATACTTGGCATGTAAATTTTGTGCGCTCTGTTTGTGGCTGTCGACAATTCCAAGTGATGCATTTCCACTTGTACCCGACAAGATGGCTTCCACCGGAGACCGCAGGTATACCCCATGGCGCATGATGCCAAACATGTAGGTGGGTCTATTAGAAGGGTCAACAAAGACACGCTGGTTGAGATCCTCGATTTGTCCCATGCCATTTTGGAACAAGCAGATAGTTGATTGGGGTCCGATGCGATGCCGAAGGGGTTCTAGGGCGGCGACTGTCGCCGAGGCTTTGACGGCAACAATTAAGTTATGAATTGGATCAGATGAGGTTGAATTGCTCAAGAGCTCGGCATTGAATCCACCTCGCTCGTCCAACGGGCCATCCTCGCCAACACGGAGACCGAGCTTCCATTCATTTGATGCGAAGTCATCGTATAGGCTCTTTCGATGGGCAAGTAGAGTCACCGAAGGCGGGGCTGGTAAAGATCGGAGAGAATGAGCGATAAAAGATCCAATACTGCCCAGCCCCAGAATGTGTATCGAGTGTGAAGGGGACGGCATCGCGAAGACCACCGAATACTTTGCAAGGGGAACTTGACAGCGGTTCGGTTTGGAGCGGGTTAAACTGCGGGCCTCGGTGGGGCTGCCGAGTACTAATGGGAGGGCGACGAAAAGTGAAGAGTAGCAGCAACATACTAGTTACTATGGCATTTCTACCATTCTTGAGAATATATACACCTCGCCAAATTGATCCTAAACGAGTTGGTGGGTTTCAATCCGGTCGGGGTTCGGTGTCGCCGAAACGAGTCCTACTGCCACCTACCATCCGGTAATTGACTAATGTCACTACTACTACTACTACTACTACTACTACTACTACTACTACTACTACTACTACTACTACTACTACTACTACTACTAGTAGGAAGAAAATAAAAGGTCCACGGGTACCTACCTAAGTACCTTGGTAGGTATATATGAACAAAGAACTTGAATTTGAACTTGAACTTGAACTTGAAGGAAACTACACCGCGAATACTAGTACCTACCTAGGTACCTAACTACATAGTAGTATAACCAATGCCTGCCTACCCAACTCGCCAACCCCGTCAATTAAGATCCAAGGGAAGATTCTTAGAGTAAATTTCGCAGACAAAATCAAAACGGTAATTGGGAAATCAAATTACGAATCAAGTAGTTGACGACATGCTCCTATGCGGGGTCCAAGCTGATCCCGCCAGTCAGGATAGCCCTCACCCGCAGATCGAAGTAATTTCCAAGACGCTAAATCAATCTTGACCGATACGAGCTAGAGTTTTGTTTGTCAGCCCGCTTGCCTTTGAAAACTCACGAGCAGCCCGTACAGAGCCTCAAATATCCACCTTCTTTTGCCATGGAGATCAAATTAGACTTGCGAGGCGTTCTCAGACGCACGGAGCCTCAAGACATTCCATCCAGATCACTATCATATAGCGGGTAAGACATTCGTCAAAACCTTCGAGCTCAACTCGGTTAACGACAAGAAGATGCTGGACGTGCCGTGAACGCCGGACGAAATGTGACGAACGGCCCGCTGCCTGCAGGAGGTGTGAGGATGCAAAACTTGTCTGCGCTGGATACGACATTAGGTTGAATTGGGCTGAGGGGGGTGAATCAAAAACGGTCGAGGCCGGGTGGCACTCGAAGGTGCATCAAACCAGGTCGGTCTAATAGCCCAATTATAGGAGGACCCCAAAATTGTTAAAATTCTCGCCCGACAGGAACAAGTTTATGTCAGACCATGACCGACAAAGAGGTTACGCGGGCTCTTGCTTCAATCGATAAGACCACTGAATGTCAATCGAGGACCGCTGGCCCATTTTCGGTCTTTCAGGTTCAGCCTGAGCACAGACAGGTTGATCAACTGTCTGGCTCCTCGTTGCTCGGAAAAGAAGAAAAGCCACCCACTCAACGTGATATTGACTTCAGTCAGAGTGACGATCTTCAACCTGCAGCAGAACAGCATCCCACGTTTGAGAGTGATGATCCCCGATGGATGAGCCTGTCATTGACCAAGGATCTAAATATACTCTCTGGTGAGGACTCTTCTGTAGCGTTGAACGAGAGAAATGTTCACGAAATAGAAGATGAATCAGAAAACCCCACCGAAAGTGTGAGACCTCCAGGATTTATTCATCCAAGAGATCATTTCGCCCAAGATATTGAGTCCTCTATACCCCTTCGCCCCCCGAGGGCCCATGAACTTCAAGCATTGCAAATAAAAGGTTCCATGGACGTGAGGATGTCATTAAACACCCTTACTTACAGTTTTGGCTCTCCTCAGATCAAAAATTCTTCGGTTACAATGCTCATTCATCACTATACAAACAACATTGTCCATTTGATGCAGCCTGTCTCGCACAAGGGAAATCCCTTCCAAACGCTATACCTTCCCCTTGCAATTGAAGGATCAAGTGACATTGAAATTGGCCAAGGCTCACGACGAGGAGTATCTCCAGCAACAGTTGCTGTATTCCACAGTCTCTTGTGCTCTGCAGCTACCAACCTCGAAGGCCTAGGGTCTAGGAATACTAGACTTCAGCAGCTTGCATACCGCCACAAAGAGCGGGCTCTAAATGCACTGCGAAATTCACTTGTCAGGAAGATTGGTCGGTACAAAGACTTGATGGTAGCCATTTTGTCCTTGGTGTCTGTCGATGTAAGCTTCTGACGATATCATATTCAAGGTATCCCTCCTAATATATGTGAATTTGTAGATCCTCGATGGTGGTGTGAACGATCATTGGATTCATTTAGATGCAGCGATCAAACTCCAAGCATCACGACAACACACAAGCCTAGTCGGCCGAGAGGCCAGCCAGCTAGACATGATATGCACCATGCTTCGACTTTTTGCCCAGACTGCCCTTCCCTCGCCGGACCCGATTCCATGGAATGATAATGCTGGCCCAGATCGGACGGATTATGACTTTTCAGATCCAAGCATTGAATACATGTATGGTATCACGACGAATCTTGCCAGGCTGATAAAGCGAATCTACGAAATAACGCGGTATCTTGCATTTTACAAAGACAGAGAGGACCCCGCGACTCTCCTAGCCGCCTGTGAGGGTCTGGAGGATGATCTGATTTCTTGGAAGATTGATTCCGAGCCATTCTCAGCGATAGGTACGGAGAGAGAGGATGCAAAGCAGGTAGCTAGGGCACAGTCAAGGGCATTCCACTCTGCTGCTTTGATCTACTACTATCGATCTGTCCAGAACTGCGAGCGGAGATATCTCAGCGTGGAACAAGAAAATATACTCCTTGCCATGAATGAGGCTGAAGACCTGAAACTCTGTCTGATTAAAGATAGCTCTGTTCCAGCTCCACTCACATGGCCGGCCTTTATCGCATCATGCGAGGCGATAGGCGAGTATCGCCAGCGGTGGAATGAGTGGTGGGTTCGAGTTGAGAAATATCGCCTGAAGAGCTTTTCGAAACAGCACAGTATTGTGCAACAGGTTTGGAAAAAACTTGATAGATCGGAATCACTCACCGATTGGCGGGATGCGCTTGTGGAAATGAATTTCAGAATCATTCCAGTGTAATACTAGGATAAAACTCTATCACTAGTGAAGCTTAGGAGCAGATTGCTCTACCCTACAGGTTACTACTTTCAGTTCCAGTTGTAGTGCATTTGAATCAGAATAGAAAGAACCAAAAGACCCGGATATAAAATTCTGTAAGATTCGAATATTCCTGAATCTTTTGGGCTAAATTCCATCGCTTCGTGTAGGCTAGATGTATGTAACCGAAATCATGTGGTTTCGTCTAAAGATGCATTGGTCCTCAGTGACCATTCAAAGCTGAAGAGAAATTGGTAGAATGAACCTCGCTCCCAGGCGTGGTAGAAAAACGCAAGAAGAAAAAGAAGTAGAAAGGACGCTTAGTCGTGGTAAGTCACGCTGACAACATGGAATCCCTGGTCCAATCCACTGTCTGAATTTCGCAGGACCATATTGCCCAAGTTGTCAATGTCAAGATACTCGCCACTATCGGCGTATCTCAGAGTGTAACCCAGACCATTTCCGAGGAAAGTAATGCGGATGTGCGAAGCAGAGCTTCGGGCTTCCGAGGCTTGCAGTTCTCCGCGAGGGCCGAGCCAGCGACCGTCAAGTGCATTCTCGAGCGTGAAGATCTCGCTCTCTTCATCCTGGGTGTAATGTAGGATCCAACGGTTCTCCTTTTTGTCGTAGAGGTGACCTGGCTTGCCTGTGTCAAGGTCCCATCTCTTGTTGTGTCCTCTCAGGGCGTAGCCATTCTTACTGAAGACCAAATAACGGCCTTCAGTCAGATATCCAACAACCTCCTTGAAGCCATCCTCGAAAAAGAGTGAATCGGAAAGATTACTCTGCTCGCCGTATGGAACCGGAGGGCGCGTCTGGCTGTGCCGCGATTGGCACCGCGATGTACCCACGAAGTTGCCATTCCCATCGGTCTCCGGAGCGGGGATATCCGGGAGATTTGGTAGAGAATAATCGGGCTACATACGTCAGTTCAACCGTACTGTATAAGAGAGGCCTGTTGGAAGTAAGCAAAAAGAGGACATACGTGATCAAGATCCAGAGCGCCGATCAGGTTCGACATGTGAGCACGACGCCATGGCACCATCTGGTCGGTTTGAACACCGGAGTAGCCGAGAGCAGTCAACCACTGCTCAATGAACATAATTTGTGAGTTGTGATCGCAGCGCTCAGTGAACACACGGCCACCACGAGTCCACGGAGAGACCATGATGAATGGAACTCGGAAGCCTGAACACTGGGTTAGTGACTAATTCAAAATGCAAAAATGATAGTCAAGTACGAACCGGGTCCTGCAAAAACGTCACCAAAGTCTCCATATGGGTCTGTCATCCACTCTCCAGCTGTGCCTTGGGGCGAGTGGAAAGGTGTTACATGATCACCAAAGCCGCCAGTCTCTGTGATTTCTGATTAGTAGTTACCATGCACAGACAGGAATGTGACTTACCGTCAAAACTGATCATCAGCAGAGTTGAAGAATACTTGGGACTGCTTGTCACGGCATCGGTCACTCTTTTCTGTAGCCAGCCACCGTCCATTGGCCGGTAGGGAGGATGCTCAGAGAGTTCGGTTGGGCCAACAATGAAGCTGACTCTAGGAAGAGTGCCATTGGCAGCGTCCTCGTAGAACTTGTCGAGTCCCACAAAAGACATTCCCTTATCAGCAAGAGGGTGGCCCTTTTTAGCCTGTTGAAACTGCTGGAACCAAGCCAGGGGGTTGTCGTCAAAGTTGTTAGTGTCTTGGTACAGCTGCCATGAGACACCAGCATCCTCATAGAATTCGAAGATGGTCTTCCACTTGAGCGGGTAGCAGCTGACACCTGGCTTTTCACAACCTATCAATGGTTTAGTGATGAGCTAGATGGGGCCTTCGGGAACCACTTACCGGGCATTTCATTGTTGTCAATGTAAACACCGCCCTGGTCAGGCGATTGAGGGCTTCCCGGGACATTTATAGAGCCACTGACTAGAGTTACGCGGTTGGGGTTGGTTGCAGTGATTTGCGATTCCTATAATGGATTAGCTCGGGTGTGTTCATAATCTAGGAGGGATCATTACCTGATACATATCGGCCGAAGTCCATCCTTCGGCGATAGCAAACTGGGCAGGAATGTCTTCGCGCTTGTAGTAGCCCCAGCTCCAAGGTGTGTTCTTGGTGGCCCACGCATTGTTCAGACCGTGGTTGTAGGCAGCCTGGTTAGCATGATAGCCGTTATCACCGGCCGCCATGCACTGGATGGCATCCAGAGTCTCGCCGCCTTTCCAACCCAGGTAAAATGGGAAAAGACCACTGGAACGATCAGACATGCTGGGATCGACAGTTCTAGTTGGATTGTCAAAAGCATATTCTATGTATGGATAGTTCTTCGACTTCACTTACTGGTTCCAAACAGACTGTCCATCGGGGTTGATCTGAACGTTAGGGTCGGCGAAGCCACGAACACCTGCCATCGTACCATAGTACTATAACTCATTTCGTCAGCTCTGAAGGGTAATCTGCATTCGAAGGAGAGCAGGTATACCGTATCCTGGGCTCGATTCTCCTGCATGAAGATCACGACATGCTCGATATCCTTGAGAGAACCAGCATTAACGGAAGAGCTCGCCAGGAGCGCCGTGAGGGCGACTCCAAGGAGAAAACCCATGCTGAAATTGTGATTCTGGAAGAAGGTTGTGAAGTTGGAAGATTGAGGGGGGCGGTGAGTATTTAAGAAGGGGTAAACAAGAAGAAGATAAGAGGTCTCAAGCTTCGATCGACAATCGCCGATCCAAGATCGGGTCGAGCCGAAGGAAAAAAAAGGTAGTATGGAAGTGAAAGGTAGTATTCAAGGTGACAGGTGCTAGGATGATAGGTTCCTAAGGTTAGGAGGGAGATGCAAGAAGTAGGAAGAAGTAGGATGACCAAATGGTATCCCTCGATTCGAGCATGTGGAGGAGAGAGTTGGAGACGATCGCCTGCAGCTGCGGGGAATGACCCCCAGTGCAGCCCCACGTGCCCTCTGCCCTAAGACTACCCTGTTGGACCCTGTTGACCTGATTTACTAGTGATGGACTTCTTCTGAGGGACTTCTTCCCGAGGCCTGAGTCCTGACCATCTTCATCCTTGCGTATTCCTGCGCTGTGTGGTTCAAGACAAGCAGTCAAAGCGGTCTCCAAAGCTGCGGGCGTTGCAAGTGACCTACGCCTCCTGCCGATCCCCTTGTCTCCGCCACTCACTGCATGTCTTTGCCCTCCGCAAGGGCCGGGGTCCATGCGGTAATCTTAAATCATCCGACGTCCGACGTCTGAGGTTGAGGGTTTTCTTCTTCAGAATCATGGAAAGACAAAATAGTCGGCGTCGAAAACCGCCCCGCACCCAGGAATCCCAGCAATCATCCGAAAAGGCCACCTCGTCGGAGCCGACCTCTCGCCCGTTGCTTAGCTGGGTGCTCCTCACTCTGTTGGTGTCATTTTTGGCCTATTCACTTCGCCCGGATATCTATCTGCATTCATGGATCGGTCCGCTCCTGGGTCATGCCCATAGACATCCACATGGTGAGGATGCCTCGATTCGGCCGTATATCGAATTGCATCCCGAGGATCATGTGTTTCGTGCTCCCGTTACACACCATTTGAATTGGCGCGTTACAACGGGTGAACGCAGGCCTGACGGCGTCTTGAAGAAAGTATTTCTCATCAACAGTGAGCCTTTCACTCATGGCGATGCTCTGGTCTCTAGCGGTCGCCTGATAATGGGAATGTTCCACTAATTATTATCCCTTCGTTTCATCCCATAGATCTTTTTCCAGGTCCCACCGTTGAGGCTCGTTCGGGTGACACATTGATTATCACCGTCACCAACGCCTTGTCAGAGCACGAAATTGCTCTTCATTGGCATGGTCTTCATGTAGCGAGTGAGTTGGTGGTATCGCCTAGAGATTGACCTCGTTTCAGCAGCTGATAGGCCATAGATTCCGTGGATGGAGCAGCAGCGGTATCACAATGCCCCATACCTCCAGGCGCCCAGTATGTCTATAACGTCAGCATCCCAGAAGACCAGAGCGGAACATTTTGGTATCATGCGCACTCTGGGTTATCGAGACAGGATGGTTTATTTGGTGGACTGGTCGTTCATGCACCGTCGTCCAAATCGACAGTTCGGGGGTTAATGAGTCGAGGTGGAAGTGATGCTGAACGATATGGGTATGAGAAAGAGCATCTGTTGCTCATTGGGGACTGGTATCATCCTCCCGCAGAAGATGTTCTAGCCTGGTACCAGGATCCAGGCAATTTCGGCAACGAGGTGCGTCCAGTCCAACAGAAGTCGCGTATATCCACTGACAATTCTTCAGCCAGTCCCAGACTCGTTGCTCATCAACGGAATCGGTTATTTTGACTGTGGTATGGCCGTACCTGCACGTCCTGTAGACTGTGTTGAGCATCAGACAAAACCGTCGTTTCTTCATCTCGACTTTGGCGCATCCTCCCGAGTACGCGTCGTCAATACAGGGTATTTACATTATTATAAGATCACAATTGATTCAAGAATCAGTCACTGAAATTATCATGGATAGGGCCCTGGGAGGTTTCACTCTCGTATTCGGCCAAGAGACTCTCGAACTGCTTCAGGTGGACAGTGTTGATGTGGAGCGACCACAGCAGGAGGATGTCAACACGGCCGGGATTTTGTATCCTGGGCAGCGCATGGATTTTGTCCTACGCCCATCTGCCAAAGAAGAGGCAGGGTCATCATCCATGATGGTGAAGTTGGATCAAGGGTAAATCTCACTCAGCCCACTCGTATTCATACTCATTTTAACATTGGCCAGATGCTTCAAGTACATGAACCACGCGTTAACCCCCGATCAAACCTTCGCCATTCACTACTCAAATACGTCCAGAAAGGTCGATGACGCAACTTCATTGCCTATCACCCGCAATGAATTGAATCTCGAGAGAATCCCGTCAGCCGCTTCAGTTCTCGCAAAACTCCCCGAACAAGCCGACGAGACACATGTCGTCTATACCAAGATCCAGAAGATGGCCCGACTCCGCAACATGCCCTATGGCTTTTTCAACATGACCATTTGGAAACCCCAGAGCGAGCCTCAAGTCCCACTCATCGCTCTCCCCGCGAGAGCTGGGATTCGAACCAGTTTTCAATTACTACAGGTCCAGGCCCAACATGGGTAGACTTTGTGGTCAACAATCTAGATGAAGGCCCCCATCCATTTCACATGGTAAGCACACCGACATTTCTTATTTTACAAACCAGCACCCTGCAATATTACATCAGTATTATTGTTCTCCTGCTCGATTATCCCTTACATCCCCGCTCATGTCATGTCCCTTCCAGCACGGCCACCACTTCTACGTCCTCGCAACGCACGAATCCACCTTTGGATGGGGCTCATATAATCCCTTTGAAGACGTCATTCCCACCGGCTTCGACCCAGACACCGATCCTATCCAGCCCTACAATTTGTCTCGCGCCGCGCTGCGCGATACTGTCCAGATTCCCAGCCGCGGGTACGCGGTTCTGCGATTCAGGGCCGAGAATCCCGGTGTCTGGCTTTTCCATTGCCATATTCTTTGGCACTTTGCCACGGGTATGGCGATGCTTATTGATGTCCAGGGAGACCCGGCTGGACTGGTCGCGCATGATACATCTGTGCTTCCGACGGGAACACAGATGTGTCCTGGGTCAGCTTAGGCAAATAGAAAGTAGGAGGTACATGGTACTTCCTGAAGATTTGAAGAGTCAATTAGTGTTCATTTTGGTGGTATTGTAGGTTTAATGTAAAGTCACCAAGCCTTTGTAGACCGACCCGCTCAGAAAGAGAGAGAAAGAGAAAGAGAGACCTAACGATAATCACATTGGGGGGTGGGGGGGGAGTGTAAGGAGTTTGTGAAAGAGGGAGACAATCGTAATACTATGATGGAATGCAAGCCCAAACGCCAGGCCCCGAAAGAATACAGGGACGCAACGCCATCCGCAAGTGGACCCAGAAACATTATGAACATAGTAATCAGAAAAGTGAGCGCGTGGATGCATCCAGCATAACCCAAGACCAGCCTCTCGCGAGTCAAAATACACTGTATTGCGCGGGTACATCTAAGCGGCGGCCCATTCAAGGACCTCCAGGGCGCAGACGACCAGCACCAGAGTTGATGGAAGAATCCTGAGGTAAATCATTAGTACAGACTTCTCTAAAGGAGAAAATTAACGGGGGAGGAGAGACGTACCAGACAACATAGCTCTGGAAAAGAAGTTTAGACATGGCACCGATGTAGACGTTGTTGATTTGGCAGATCTGGGCCAATTGCAGTGCCGACGGGGCGCCGGTAATGAGGAAGCAAACCACAATGAAAATCGGGTCGTCGAGAATGCTGATCGGAACAAACTTTGCCATAAGAGCAATGATCGGTGCCATGATTAGAGTCGGTAACAGCATTCGCGAAATCAACGCCGCAATAATGAGCTTGCGTTCATCGGCTGGGTGTTCCATATCGGCAAGGGCATCTTCAGAAAGTGTATTTCTGGCTAGGTTCGCCCCAAGAACCACCAAAATGAGCGGGACGGCTACCTGGGAGTTCTGCTGGATGGCGCTGGTGACAGAGTTGCTAATGAACGTGCCTTTGTCGAAGAATAGGTGTTGTAAGGATGGGACCGAGGCGACAACGATAGCGACCAGCATTGCCCAGAGAGGCGGGTTCATGAAACTCCATACGCCACGGAAAAAACGGCCCAAGCCATGGGATGTTGCCGATAGTCCTTTCTGTGTCTTTGGTGGAAGACGATCATAGAGTGCGTTTTTCTTCGTAGTCCAAGATTCGCGAAAACCGTTCCAGCGGCGTCGGAAATATGTCTTCCAGCGGCCTACAAATGTTTGCTCAGATGCCTGCAATTCGCGCGCAGTGGATTCCACGTCGGGGAATGAGAGCATGTCATCGCCTGTACTTTGGCGTGGTAGGAATGGCCCGCGGGGCGGCGGACCAATCGTTCTTGGCGAGAGATCAGAATCGAGCCCGCTGTGTATTGACTCAGTCCTGGAGTGAACCGATGAGACCTTCGAGTATGAGTAGGCGCGTGTCGAGATCGGAGTCTGATCGCCTGATTGGAAATTGCCATGATCGTGGGTTTGACCGTCAGCAGCTCGATGCAAACTATCCGAGCTACGCGTGCGAATCAGTGGCTCATCGGGATCTGTTTGCTCGGGGTTGTCGGTATATCGTGCTTGGCCTCGTTCAATGATGGATGAACCGCTCGAGCTCTGGTCGGAGTCCTCGAGGTATCGGTCCTTTGGCGCCAGCAGAACATGGTATCCCCAACTCCAACGTACCAGTTGACCTAGCTGCTGGAAAATGAGTAAGTACAAGATACCTCGCGCTGCAACTTCATCGTCGTTATCGTGTGGTATCCTATCCCAGTGCAAGCCTCTAAGAGTCTGCGATAGGGAAACGACCAGGGAAATGGGCAGCGAATTGGAATTGCCAAAGACCTATTGGAATGCGGGATCAGCACTGTACTATGTAGAGCTTATCAAATGGCGTGACGACCCGGGGATTCCCAAGGGTTATCGCCGATTAGCACCAATCAACGTGACAGAGAGTCCACATACCGCCATGGCCGTAACGAAGTTCGCCTTGCGCTTTTTGAAGTGAAAGCATCGAGTGACCGCCCAGGAGCAAGAGTATGAGACCAGGGTCTGGACAATGAAGATGACAGGAATGATCGCCAGGTCCGTGAGCTTCTCCGCGGTCAATTGAGAGCCCAACTTGACGAAAACTGGTTCCGAACATGGTTGTCAGTAAGTCAATTACGAATGCGACCGAAATTGAGGGGGTCGTCGCTTCGTTTCACGATGGAGGGGGGGGGATTCGGATATCATACTCAGACAAGGGGTGAAGAGCATCACATTCAGGTTTGCGACAAACTTTTGGGCATCGGCGTCAAAGAGGCCCTGCTGGGCGACGATGTAGCCGGGTAAGCAGACACAGACCACCTCCAGCACGGCTTCAAAGACGAGGAGCAGTAGGTAGCCGAATGGAGGGTGCTTGGGCTGGGGGTTGGCGCTCGCCATGAAGGCGTTACTGGCGACCAGCGGATCTTGGGCGAATGCATTGTATTGAAAGGATCGGGGCGTGGTAAAAATTGCCATGAAGGCGATAAGAGAAGTTGAGGAGTTCCTATGACCTGTCCTTGTCCAGGGGGACAAAAAGGATGATGGGGAGGGAGAGAAGGGAAGGGACAGAAAGGAAAGAAAAGCAAACTTGAAGTGGAAGCTTGGCTGTGGCTATGGGAAAGTTGGCATTCCGTCAGATCATGACTTCAATGATGGCCACGACCAAGATTATTGAACCATCTTGAACCTGCTTCAACCAAGGGTTGCCCTGATTGTCCCGGTTTGTTTTTGTTTGCCAGGGGAGTATCACGCCATGTGTAACCGTCGGGTTTTTAACTCAGTACGTGTCTAAAGTACAACTATCCAAGTATACATGTAACATGAGTTATTCTATTCCACAGGAATAAGTAGAGCAAAACAAGTACACGTCAAACAACTGATGTTTAGCCAAGAGCGACAGCCTCAAGACGCGTCTCGACCCGTGGATCCGTCATGACGCAACGACAAATCAAATTGGAGCCTGATGACACGTTGTGGCGGAGCTGATTAGACCACCTAGGTAAAGTACGATACATAGAGTCTGATAAGTCGATAGTGTAGTACACTGCAGATTTTAAGGTATTTACATAGATACAATCTTAGATTAGATCAATCACATTGAGATAGACTACGGTCCCCATACCCAAGGTACTCCGCTCCATCTCATGCTATCCCCCTCTATAAAGTAAGGTAAGAGATCTCCAACTTGCTCTATTCAAACATCTCGCACAAATCAAAAAAAAAAAATGGGCGACTTCGCGCCAGAATGGTATATTACAACAAATCCCCTTCCATATGTCCAATCCAAGGATTCCCGGGCCGTGGTCGCAGAAAGGGGCCATCTATGCCTCTCCCACAAATCCCAATTTTTCACCGATCTTGATACGCTGCCCCTTTTCAATGCTCCACGTCCAGCCATCAGAGGGTTTGTCCTCGGCCGAGCCCGCTTCAGCAGATTTCTCAGTACCCAGGGGTGCCTCAAAGACCATCACGATCGAACTTCCCAGCTGGAATCCACCCATTTCCTCACCCCGTTGCAGAGGGTGTCCATCCAGAGTACGGCTGGCATGACGGTATGTAGCCTCCACGAATCCAGGATCTTGTTCGCCTCGTTTCGCAGCCAAGGCCGCCGCCAAGTCCGCCGCCGTGTCTGTCAACAGACTGTTGGTGCGCAGCTCGCTGTCAAAGTTGATTTTGATCGAGCCCACATTCGTGGCACCCACCGGTGTGTAACTAAAGAAACCCCATCGCCAGCGACCCAGAAGCGCCACCCGCTCATTGAGAGTGAACAAGCCTGGGAGATGGCGCTGCAGGTAGGGAGAAACCGAGTACAATTCGCCGGCAAAGTGACGACGGCTCTCCACCACCCACGCCGTGGGCGAGTGGAACCGGTGGTAGTCTCCAGGTGCAAGGTAGATCACCACGTAGAATAGAGCATGCTTGTTGGCCGTTCGGGGTGCATACCAGGGAATTCCGTCTCCGCGAGCCAGCTCTTCTTGCACTTGCACTTCCGAGGTTGTGTTGGAGGTGGTCGATGCATCCATCGTCGAGCCTTGTCGCTTGGTCGAGGTCTCGCCCGATAATAGATCGGGGAGGGTGTAGGAGATACCATTCAGGCGGGCAAACTCCTCATCGGACTTGAGCTTCTCGGCGTCCCTCTGAGTGGCTTCCGTAGTAGAATCAGAGAGGCGGTTGCTGTGGTCAGCGTTTGTTGGCGTGGCCGATCCCAAGAGGGCATCCAAACTATAAGTCATGCCCTTCACTTGTTCCACCTGACCACGCTCAATCATACCGAACTGCAGAATACGACCATCGGAAGGTGCGAGCAGGGCTCGTGGGTCGGGGTCGAGAGGTCGCATGCCGGGCTTCAACTTGCGATAAAAGAAGGCTGCAAGGTTGGGATACGTGTGTAGGTCGGGTTCGGCGACCTCGCTCAGGTTCACGCCGAAAACCCAAGAGTATAGTTTGAATCCAGGAACGCGGAAGTAATAGGGAAGTTCGATCTCGTTGAAACGGCCCCAGAGGCGCGACATGGCCTTCAGGGGTAAGGTCGACATGAACTGCACCTGCCAGGAGCCGGTTGGTACGATACGTGGGCGACGTGGTGGCCGGCCTCCATTCTCCCACTCTTCACCAGCGGTATCCTGTACGGCACGATCACGCTCTGCTCGTTGGGACTTGTAAAAGGACAAAACGCCTAGGAGGCCGATGCCGAGACCGACAGGGATCGGGTACCATTCAACCTTGGTGTTGCGCAGGGCGAAGCGTAGTCGGGAGCCAAATCCTCCACTTTTGCTGCTGCTGCTCTCTTTCTGATTATCTTTGTTGTACTGTCTCCATGACTTTGAAGAAAAATGGCGCATGCTGGCCTGATGGCGTGCAGTGGCTCTAAACGAAAGGACTTCCATCGTCGCTGCGCCCCCGGTCAGCGGGGTGGCGTGATGGAAACGAAGAAGGGGGGAGTTGTGGAGAAGGCGCTGGGCCATCGTGTTTAATCCATGGGGTTCTCGGATCGACACAAAATCGATCTGACCTCGGCGAGGTTTGGCCCCGAATGAACGTGACCAGAAGTTTTGAAACCTGGGAGACACCGCCCGGCAGAATAGCACAGGGCACGTGGAGTACCTTCAGTATGGTTGACCTTAGTACATACTTGAGTCATTTCCTCTCCTCTTCTCTTCTCTCCTCTCCAATTGGAAATGGTTCATAATTGCGACATCTCTACTACTACGTTTGTTTCTGTCGGCCATTCCTTTTACCATCCTCCAAGCATTGGTGGCTGACACTACAAGTCATCTCTCCGTTAAGACCCATACTATACTCCACTCCAGAGTTGCCCACTATCGCGCTATCAGCCCCGGTTCTTGGCTTCCTGCCAGATCTCCCCAAAGCAAACATCCCCACAAAGACGCGCCCACCACTGTCACTTCACCGGCAGCGATCCCTTTGTGTATCATATTCATCGTGTGATTAAATCGCTCCAACCAACGCCATCACCTCTTCTTCGCTCATCTCACTGCCACCACGCCATGACCATCTAACTATCCACGTCATCGCAAAGCTACAACTGCTATCAACATGACAACTGATCCAGCCACAAGAGGAGCTGCCCCTATGGCGTCCGACAAGATCACTCTACATGTTATCTCCCCTTCAATCCCCGCCCCGGGGCGGTTTACGCTTCACGACCAATCTCTCTCAGACACCGTTGCACAAATCAAGGCTCGCATTACACAGTCTCTCCCAAGTCGACCGGCTCCGGCACAGCAGAGATTAATCTACCAGGGCAAGCCTCTGACCGATGATCGAGCGAGCTTAGCATCTGTCCTGAGGCCTATCGATGTGAGTATCCAGGTTCTTACCATCTAGCACCTACCATGCTATGTCGATCTAACGGCGTTGGTTCTAGGGATCCCCATGCTCAATTCACCTTGTCCTGCCCCCAGCCCCAACCCCCACTGCATCTTCAACGGCAAGCGCAGCAAATCTACCATCGCACTTGAATCAATATGTGTCATCCACCGGTGTGGCGCCTCAACTAGCTTCGTCGACACAGGGAATTCGATATCGCGGACAAGCGCCTCCTTCATCAAACGCCATTGGACAGGACTCTCAAGACAGTTCGGATCGTATTCGGAGCGAGCTAGATGCGGTTTTAGACAGATGGCGAGCCACAGCTTCCTCAAGCTTGGACCAGACTAGTACACTGAGAGAAGAACTCCGGCGTCGAGGTGCTTTGACAGAGGACGTGGACCGAATACTCCAGGCCAGCTCTTCCCATCAAAATTTACCAGGGTTTGATTCGCGGTCGAATTTTCCTCAGTTTGACTCCACATCTTGGGGTCACAACACTACGTCTGCTGAGAATATCAACTCTGTAGACGCCAGATTTCCTGCAATGCCTGCATGGAATCCTTCTCCTTCTCACACAACAACCAATGGTGGTGGCCCTGCTTCACCCCCAAGGGATTCATCAAGGACGACTGGATCAGACAATCATAATTGGGCGACGCCGGCGGCTTCAAGTTTCAAGCCAACCAATACAAACGCCTCGCCAGCCACGGCTTCGAATACTCCATCAGCATACAGACCTCATTCGGTCCCTATTGACACCAGTACATTCGCTCAATCAGATCCTTCTTCGGCCCCATATCTTGAGCAAATACAAGGCTGGCACTTTCTTTCTCAGCAAGTGATTGAAATGGAGAACCTGATCAGCCAGTACACCATACCGTCTGTAGACATGATGTTCCGAATACGAACACAACTTCAAAACATGCTGGCGGAGAGACAAAACCAAAACATTGAAAGGATACATTCCACCCCACCCTTGTTCCCTTCGACGGCAGATGTTGTCGAGGCAATGATGAATCGTGTCACCCGTCTCTACGAGCGTGTCGATCAGATTACACTGATCCAACAGGCCCAGCGAATCAGAGTCGGAATGAACAATCCTCCCTACTTGCAAGCCGAGCCCTCTCGGATCTACTTAGCAACTCATCCAGATGGCCGACAAAGCCTGATCCTCCCCCCGGAGACCACAATCAGGACTTCGCGCGAAATTTCTTCGTTCCAGTCCCATGCAGTCCCTGCTCCCGAAGCTCAGGTTAACCCCAATGCTGCAAACGCCGCCGCCGTTCATCAAGCCGTTCGTCAGGCTCTGATCAACCAACAGCAACGACGAGACCCCAATGGCGCAGGTCTTGGACGTTATGTACGCCGCGTCTGGATGTTCATTCGCATGTACTTTTTCTGCTATATGATCAGCGACGCAGGTACTTGGACGCGTATCTTCCTCGTCACATGTGCTGTGATAGTGGCTGTTCTGTCAGATACAGACATTCCTCAGCAACTCCATGGAGCCATTGTGGTCCCAGTCCAACGTCATCTCGAAGGCCTCGCTCATATGGGTGGCCCTGCTGATCAGTCCACGCAAAGGCCAAATCAAGCCGGGGAGAATCGTGATAATCCTGCGCCCCAGGGTATGCTTGGCGAAATTATACACTTCCTCCGGCGCGCAGAGAGATCCATTGTGCTTCTACTTGCTAGCCTGGTTCCCGGCATTGGCGAGCGGCAAGTCGAAGCACGCAATGCGGCCGAGGCCGAACGAGTTCGCCAAGAGCAAGAGCAAGAGCAAGAGCAAGAACGGGAGCGCGAGCGTGAACGTGAACGTGAACAGGAACAGGAACAGCCTCGGGAGCTTGGGAATGAAAATTTGAATGAGCATGAAAGAGAGCAAGCCGGGTCTGATGCCGCCGCTGCCCCTGCTGTTATAACCCAGCCAGAGCAGACTGTTGCTTAAGTTGAGAGATTCTCCCCTTGATACTCGTGCGGGCTAGGCACATTCTACGATACCCTATTCAGCGTTTGCGTCAATCTTCCTCATTACCAGCGTGTCTTGTGTGTTCGCATGCGTCTTGCTGTCCCACGGGATCCTTTATTTAAGTGTTGAAACCAATTTTCATAGAATAAATTCATCATTATCATTTCCGCTCTAGTAGACTAAATGTATGTCCTAGAATTCAACTGAACTTTTAGATGCATCTTGCATGACACGGCAACCCTTCAAACCGTTTTCTTAATCCTTCGATCTACCTTCATCCGCAGCACAGCCGCCAGAACCGTCGCAGCCGTTGCCATTGATCCTGCATAGAAAATCGCCGGTCGATACGCTCTAATACCGCCCTCTTGACCACCGGAGGCATTGAGAATGTAACCAGCGATAGGGGCACCCATAAGGTAACCACCCAACCACCCACTAACAATCATTCCCACCGCAACAGATACCCGAGCAGATCCAAAGACATTACCCACGACCGTCGGCATGGTTGAGAAGAATCCACCATTCGCTGATCCATTAATGATCACGAATGCAACCAGAGGTCCAATCGAATTAGACACCGGCCAAAGTACGAAAATACTGAACGCGCTCAGAAGCAGCGACAAGAAAAGCGTGTTCAGCGAACCGAGCTTATCACACGCAAATCCGCAGGAAAGACGACCAATGGCCGAGCTAAAGTTGAATGCAGCGACAAGACCTGCGCCTGCGCTCGACGGCAGCCCCAATGAACTGGTATACAAGGGCAGGAAAAACGCCGGCACGAAGAGCGGGAATGTTCCAATGACGCCGACGGCGAAGAGGACCGCAAAACGCACGTCTTTGAATAAGCTCCATTCAACCATTTTGGTGGGCTTGATCGCTGCACGCTCCTTGATCAGCCAGGCGGCTGGTAGACCAGTAGCCATGATGAGGAGACCCAGGATTCGGAAGGTCCAGGCGATTCCCACTTTTTGAAGCAGAGCATCCAAGATGAAACTGATGACGGTGCCACCGAGTCCACCGCCAGCGTAAACTATACCATTGGCGATACCCCGTTTGGCTTTGAAGTATTGTGCTGGTGTGACAGAGACGACCTAGACAGATAGTGAGGTAAGTATACTAGCACAAAATGATGATGGAAGGTCGAAACTCTGCTGAGTCTGCTCACCATAAAGCATAAGCTCGTTCCCAGACCACCCACAAACCCCCATGTCATAAATAACCCTGCAATACTGTCTGTAGCAAACCCACTGAGAATACTGCCCAGGCCAAGTAGAAAGATTCCCAGGCAAGCCGTGATGCGTGCGCCGATCAGTCGAATCAATCTCGCGTTAAGGAACAGCCAGTAACGAGATACAGGCTGGACAGAGCGAGCCCACAAAGGCCAAGGTCGAGGATGAGTAGCCTTTCTTCTCCACCAATTCGGCTTGCATGACACCCCATGTGTAAGACACCCCGACAAACCACCAGGTGACCACCGCGCAAGCAGAGATCAAAACCCATCCATATCCGCCATCAGGAACCTCTGAGTCTGCAAGGAGGGACTGCTGCATAACCTCATCGGCCACTGCCTCTGGCTCTGTGTGAGATATCTGATTCCGCTGTCTTTCACCGGTGCCATCGTGGAGGTTCGGCAGTTCGATTGCCGTCGTTGGCATGGTTTGCGTGATTGTCGCCATTCCGTGGGGCTCAGCTGATATGATGTCCCTTTCACGTAAATTGAATGGACGTTGGAAAGATACTGCACGGATGGCAAAGAGTTTAAATTCTCCTTCAAATCTTATTTGGACGGCATTATTAATTGTCGTTTGCTTTGGGCGTGCCCCACATGTCATATCCCCGTGGATAACCGAATTCAAAGCTGCAACTGGTGGAGTCGTGGCGATGTGGATACTTCAAGTTTGAGGTGACTCACTGACAGATGCGGAAGTGGCCGACTTCGGGGAGCTGGTAGTAGTACTCCGCTCCCTACTAGTACCAGTATCAAAGTATACTACTAGTGACATTGTTGTTTATGGAGTAAAAAGTTCATATCCTTGATTCTCAATACTTGGCGAACTTCGCTGAATGGTTAAAACATAAACCAGAGGTGTAAAAGATGAAGATCTATCGTCGTATCGAGTGCACGACAATGCATGAGCATGCATGATACTGTCTACTCTAGTAATAATCAGAATCTCATAAGATTAACCTTCCTCATAGCTTTGTCGCGCCAACGGGTGGGTCTGCAGGTGTCATGGAGTTCGTATCAAATCCCTCCTCTCCATTGAAGTGCCTGGAATCGAGAAGGATCAGTATCGAAAAAAAAATATTCCAAATCAAAAGGAATTCTCACCATCCTCTCTCTGCGCCTCCACTCAAGAAACTGCAGTCTCCATTCAACGCACAGTCCCATCCACCTCCAACACCCTTTCCATTCTCCCACTCCGGCACACCCTTCGAACGATACAACTTCGTCCCCTCAGCCAACACCCCTTCTTCAACCCTCACATTCCGGCCGGTAGATGCGCCTCTTCGGCGGAACGTACTCATCCCAGCTGTGAAAACAAAGAAGTCCTCGACGGAACTATCCTCCGGCATATTTCCGGTCAAAGCCCGGCCCATGGCAATAAGCGGAGCTGCATGCCCGCAGATCAGAATGGCCTTGCTTGTTCTTTGCTCGGGAGATTGGCTCGCTTCCACGGCCGTAATCTCGGCATCCACGTCGGCGATTATACCCTCCAGGGCTGCGGCGACACGGTTGTGCAATTGGGCGATTGTTTCGCCTCTTGTCGATGGGTGGATTATAGGTGAGTACTTATTCTCCGGGGTTTCGTGGAGCATTGTTGGAAAATGGGTACGCATAACACTTGGGTCGGGGTGCGATGGGTGATCGAAGAAGGTTGTCGGGCCGAACCATTCTCTGTAAACAAGGTGAGTTTTTCACATTAGGTGAGGTTGAGGAGTTCGTTGCCCACATACGCCAGCCCATTTTCAAGTCGCACGTCCAAATCTGCGCTTTCTTCAATTTGGCCACGCGATGGGATTGCGGGTTCTCCATCATGAGATTGAATTTCCTTGTGCTTCTGCTTCAGCTGCTCGACGGAGGGTTGGATGGTCTGCAGGCATCGGTAAAATGGACTCGAGTAAACCCTGAATGGCTTGGGGTGGAATTCCGGGGCGATAATGTGCGCTGCTAGCTCTTCTGATTGTCGGACACCATGCGAGGTCAATGCTGGATCAGCGGGGTTTCCTGTCGGTGTTGGAAACTGTGCTTTGTAGGTGCCAGTGTGGGGGTCAATCGTCCAGTTGAGACGAAGCTGGAATTGACAGTTAGTCACACATCATATATATCCCATCTAGTATGTCTTGATGTTTTGGGTATGAACTCACCCCATGGCGAGTCAGGTATATTGTGTCTAGCGGCATTGTAGTTAAACAATCAATAAATGATATTGCAGTCCAAGTCGGATGGACTTTGCGGGGAAAAGGAAATTAGGGGGCAGAATGAGATTCGGGGGGTTGGGGCGGTGGGATTGGGCCTCGGTCCGGAACTAAACAATAACGCTGCCGTGGAACATTCATTTTTAGGATAATACTATATTTAGTATATTTGGCAGTATTCCGCATCTGCGAATAGATTAGCCAGTGTCTGGCCTTGGAGAATTGAAAAGAACAAGCGTTTGGTCACGGGGTTTTGAATCGGATAGTACTAGTACAACTTCAACCCTGGTGATAGAGGCATGTATCGGGGTCTGATAACTTGAAAGCAAACGGGAAAACGTGTACTTTTCAGGTGGCTTCAATGGATCAAGCGGGCTTTACTATTAGTAGTATACTAATAATACCCACCTAGGTAAAGTATATTTACCTTTTCTCCCAAATATTATATTAAAAGCTGTTAGATACTACTACCAGTCTCAGCCAAGCGGGTTGGCTGTTTCAGGGTATGCTAGAACCGTTTCGGGTACTCCACTAGCCAGAAATTTGCAGGACTGAAGAACTGTCAAGTATTACTCATTAACAATTAAAACAAAACGGGATTTAATCCGTTTTCAATATGTTTGGTGTCATTGGGTGTTTATTTAAGCCACTTCCGCACCCTGCAGACCCTTGCCTAGAGCTGGAGTATTCACATTTTTCATACCCCTCAAGATGAAATTCTCATCATCTCTTATCTATGTGAGTCTACTAGGAGTAGCACATCTTGGTGCTGCTGTTTCGGTCTCTGGCTCAGCTCAAGGCTTCGCTGCTGGAGTTACAGGCGGCGGCGATGCCAGTGCACAGATACCTGGCGATATTGATGAGCTGAAGGAGTGGCTTACCGATGATACCGCCCGTGTTATTGTTCTTGATAAAGAATATGACTTCACTGAGTCAGAAGGCACGACCTCTGGGACCGTTTGTGCTTCTTGGGGCACCGGCGATGGCTGTCAAAAGATCATCCAAGACGACTGCGGAGATTCCCCTTCTTCTCAGGCAACCTGGTACACTGCTGGAACTACGGGCATAGATGTCGGCTCGAACAAAACCATTCTCGGCGAAGGAGACAAAGGTATCATCAAGGGAAAGGGGTTGAGGTTCAGAGACGGAGTGTCGAACATCATCGTGCAAAACATCCAGATTTCAGACTTGAACCCCGAGTATGTATGGGGAGGTGACGCCATCTACCTCGATGGTTCTGATCTAATCTGGATTGACCATGTTACTGTGAGTAATTTCTAGACAAGAGTTGCTTTGCGCATACTAATAGCAACTCCAGACGGCACGTACTGGTCGCCAGCACTACACCTTCGGGTACGATACCAACACTCGCATCACTCTCTCGAATAACTTTGTGAACGGAGAGACCACCTACTCAACTGGATGTGACGGATACACCTACTGGACTTTTGAGATGGTCGGCGACGCAGATGAGATTACTTTGCAAAACAACTACATCTATATGACCGCCGGCCGCAGCCCAGCTTTGAGCGGAGGAACCCTCCTACATGCAGTGAACAACGTCTGGGACAAGAATAACGGGCATGCTCTCGAGGGTGGAGATTCTACTGCTAGGGGATTATTCGAGGGCAACGTCTGGCAGGATGTGACTACCGTTGTTGGGGACTATGCCGGCCGGCTTTTTGCTACCCCCGATTCATCTTCCGCTAGTGAATGCCAGTCTGCCTTGGGCCGTGCGTGTGAGGTGAATACAGTCTCAGACGAGGCTAGTATCTCGTCTTATACAGATACTTCCTTCTTCTCAGACTTCTCGGGGCTTACTATTGCCCCTGCAACATCTGCCAGCGAGGCGCTATCTGGCGTCCCGAATAACGCAGGCATGGGCAAGCTTTGATTTTTGCCTCGAACTTCTGTACAATTGGTTTCTTACTATGTTTACATCCGCAAATACAATATTTAGTAAATCGAGCAATTTTGTATGCCCACTACCTAGGTAGCACGGCATTTTCATTATGATAGAGAACTTGAAACCGGCAGTGGTTGGATACTCTTGTGTACCGAATCCTGAGCTGGCATATGTACTAGTATTATATCATCATATCGTAAAGACTATCCAAAAACCCCAGTCCATTCGGGATTAATAGTTCCGGTCGAATCGTAAAGCAGCCCATAGTACAAAGCACTGGAAAGGATAGTGAGAAAGCAGAGTTCCACAGCTTGTAAACCCCGAAAGGAGTCCACTCGAAACAGCAGCTCTGCAATGTTTCCTTGGGTATACTGAGGACTGCCTCCAGTCGCTCTCCAAAGCAATTGATAGAGAATCCAGGAAAGAATCTTCCATTTCCATGTCCATAGGACTAGGGACACCTCAGGCATCGGCGAAATAGCATTGTCCATTTGTCTGATGAGAAGAGGGGCTGACAGCATAGAAACAGAGACGCAGCCTATTTTCGAGTAGAATTGATACATCCCAGAGATGAGGTGATTCCCAGACAGAGATGAGTTCGTCCTTTGATGAGTTAGTCCCACGGACTGCAAGCAAAACTGAATGGCTTTACACAAGTAATGGACAATGGACAATGGCGATGCGAAAAAGAGAGGAATGAAAACTGGGGCATAGGGATATTCATCGAACGAATAAAGCAGTTTCCACATTAAAGTGAAAAGAGGCCCGTATGAAATGGCGAATTGTAGTACAATTGGAATGATTTCCATGAGGTAGAAAGAATCGGATAGGTTAGTATCCATGTTCCTGTACCTGTACCTGTTCCAGCGCCACTGAGGACGGTATGTATAAGTCGAGCCGTCATTGAGGTTAAGATACCTGACAAGCAAAATGAGGATTTCTCCAAAGAGTATTGAGATTGCGAACATAATGGCCCAAGCCTGGGTCCACGGTATCCCTCGCATCCCTATCAGCTTGATAGCTTGGAACTGGTAGGCGCCAAGGATCATTAAGATCCAACGGATACCAATGGAGTTTTCAGCGGCTTCTCGATCTTTGGCGCCTGGTTCACCTTCGAATCTCCGTTTCAGTTCAAATTTGATATTGTACAACCACGTTGGGAGATGCCAGCTAAAGCCGAGAAAGACCAAAGCGATGAAATGCACCATATCGGCAACGCACACGATAGGCGAAGCACGGATGTAGAAGCGGTGGTTTTTCTCTTTTCGAGATAGCACATTACCACAGGGCTGCACCATGGCGGCAAGTCCTAATGCAACTAAAGCGAACCAAGCAACCTGCCATCGTACTTCATCCGATGAGGAGTCTGAGGAAGTCAGTTGAAATTCGGTCCAAAAATGGGTTACCATCTTACCTTCTGCACCGCTCATAGCTTCTTCGATGGAGCTATAAGGACTCCGTCAGCAAGATGAAGATACTATGTGATACTATTAGTTCATGCACTCCAGGGGAAGCCAATAATATGGATACCGACCAGGCCACCTGATGATGAGAGAAAGGTAATATTTTCATGTCTTACGTTTTGGCTTACTACCCCTCTTCATGTTTGAATGGGGTCGCGCTCCAATAAAGCTTGGGGAATAAGCGCTAATGTCTAGCTTGCGGATGTCTCTGGTGCACCAATGGAAGGGGCTCAAGTTCAGCTGATTCAATGCGGTTGTGCAGTAGTTCGGAATGCCAATTCCTAGTATTTCCTACTAGTTCTACGAAAAAATGATACGTTGACCAGAATCGATAGCATTGGATCGAAGCCATGTACTCTGTAACTATAATCAGGGGGTATATGTCCGCTACACTAGATTACATTCCCAGGGCCCAGCCCAAGCATGAAGAAACCAGTCAAAACAACAACTTTTTATTGAGGTTGGAATTTTTTTCAACGACTTCCATCTAGTAGAAGAATCCGAGGAGCTTGCCAGCAACGTGCTTGCGGCGAGCCTCCTCGTGGTCCATGATACCGGCAGAGGTGGTCAGGACGACGAAACCGAACTGACGAGAGGGCAGAAGCTGGACAGCCCACTTCTCAAGGTCACGGAGCTGGACGGGGTAGCGGGGGTTGATGACACCACACTTGTTGAGACGGCCGTTCAGCTGGATGACGATCTTGCCGGAGCGGTGGTCGTCAACCTCCTCGAACTCGCCGATGTAGCCTGAAAGAAAAAGAAAGTCAGCGATGTTGCGAAGATTTAAAAGTCGCCAAACACAGGCATTGCCAAAAGCACTTTCGGAAACATGTAAGATCTCCGCTGAAAATAATCTATCGGACACTTAAAAGGCAGACGTCGTAGGTTGATTGAGACCGGCCGCCTAGTTATCAGCCCGAAGACCTCGGGGAGGACATGCTGAAGACAAATGGGGAAAGGAGGGAAATATGAAGAGACAAGGGAGAAAAAACATGGCAACGACAATGGCAATGCAGTACTTGGCTTGTCGACTTGAGAGGTATTGGAAGAACATACCGTGCTTCTGCATGACAGTGAGGAACTTGACGATGACCTTGGAGGAAGGACGGATCAGGACTTGGCGCTTGCCAGCCTTCTCGGCGTTGTTCATGGCGTTGAGCGCATCGTTGAGGACGGAAGTCTTGACCATTTTGGCGGTTGTGAATGCGAGATTCTCAAATCAAGGGGATAGGATTATGAGGTATCTTTACGGATGACAGGTTGTTAAGTCAGCCACCAGTAGTCTTCGAGCGCAAAGAGTGCCCCTTTGCAGGAGTTCTTCAGCCCGTGCCGGGATGGGAGAGGCGTATCATCGTGACCTGCTGCGATCGACTCGAATCGAATCAAACCGAATCAAAAAGCAATAAAGATTTTGTCGTCTTCGGAGGGGATGCACAGCAAAGGCATGATGATTGCAACTCCCAGACTAGCTGTGAGGCTGGTAGGGGGGAAGGGCGTACATACCTCGAGGATGAATTCGTCGGGGCGTGTCGTGGATGAAAATCTGGCGGAGCTCGGTCAACTTTGGTTTTCCCAGGGCCCGCTTTGCCGCTGACTGTGCGAGCTGACTAAGGTAGGGTTATGCCGGTATGCCCTTATCCCAGTCACGTGGTGATAGAAACATGGCTGTCCAGCGTATATAACACACAGGGTAGGCGGTGGCGGTGATGAAGATGGCAGAAAATTAGCGATCCCAGGGCGGTAGAATGTGTGTGGAAAATATTCGATCCTAAGATCTTGTTAAGGAATTGGAGACAATTTGTTTTTTGATAAAAAAAAAAGCAAAAGAAAAAGATGACAACGTTGAAGCCGAAGTGATTCGAACACTTAACCTCTGAAGAATTTGTTAGATGATGTTGCAATACCAAATATGGTAAGAAGGACTTACTCTGGAGACTCCAAATCTGGAATCAGACGCGCTACCGTTGCGCCACGGCTCCTATCATATCCACTTGGTCCATGGCTGTGAACCTGAAGCGACTCGAACAGATGACCTTGGAGTAAAAAAAATGATAGCATTGAAGCTGAAGTGATTCGAACACTTAACCTCTGAAAGATATTGTTAGATAATGTTGGGTTATAAAGCGGATGAGAAATGCTTACTCTGGAGATCCCAATCTGGAATCAGACGCGCTACCGTTGCGCCACAGCTCCTATCATGTAAAATTGGCGCAGAATAAGCCAATATGAAACAGATGGGCTTCTCCTGACCTTGTTTGGAAACTGGTCAGCCATGCCAGGCCACTCTTTCTCAATAGTTCCACAAGTCAATATATCACTGTCAATTTTCACGAATTATGTGTTAAGAAATAAAGTGCATGAAGAGTAGATAGTATCCCCCTACAATAGTCCACCTGGGCATTACTAGTAGATTTGTCTGACTACTACCACCATGGCGTATGTATAAAATATTAGTAGCACTTGGCTCTTGGCACCGCTAGCCCAACCGTTAATCATGATGTTTCTTACAACTTAGCATCCGGAGATTTCAAACCCAGAATATTCAAATTTGAAATAGGGTCTTTGATACTACCTAGTCGCACATTACTAGTTTTGCACTGGAGAGTCACTTTGAAATCTACCAGTTGAGAACAGCCGACGGAGCCCCGAGTCAGGTATAGACCGTCTGCCGCTTAACCCCCCCCACTTGCTCTAGCCCTCTGCCACCGTCTTTCGAGCAGTTTACTCTCCTCATTGGGTACATTTTCAAGTATGTCGACAAGGCTATTCATCTTGAATACATCCTTTTCCCCTTCAGAAAAAAGCCACCCTTCCCACTTTGAGCATGTGAGTCCTACCAGTAGTCGGCTTGCTGGGTCAGTCGCCATGGCAAATCGTGCATATCGATCAGGATGCGGATTTTCTGTTAGAAAAGCTTGGATGGCGATATCATCGCCTGGACGGACAGGCGTATCACTTCGGATGGTGAAAAAGAAATCTCCAAAGTTCACCAAGCATCCACCTTTGGGGGTGCGCTGAGCCTTTCCTAGGATCCTGTTATTGAGAAGGGCACTGTATTTCTCAAATCTCCGAAGCTGAACTTTTCCTTGAACTGCTAGTAGACCGGCCTTTCTTTGCTGGTCAAAATAGTAGGAACGGATCTGTAAGTTTGGTGAGTTCCGGAGCGCATTGTAAGAGTCGCGAAGGCCCTTTGCCCATTTGCGGAGCATTGGATCTGGGCTGGAAAGATGCTCTTGAAAATCCAGGCGATTGAGACCATCAATTCTGAAATTTCTTGGCTCGTGAGAGAATCGTTGCCATAGAGGAACTGCGATGTTTAGATGACGTCCTGCCCAAGGTTTAGGCTCACTGTCATTGAAAGGTAGATGCACTGCCCCCAATGTCTAAAATGCGCAACACATCCACATCTCTAGAAGGTTGAGCATGTATTCCTTGGGGTCGCCTTGAAACCCTTGGGGTTGAGACTGAGATTCAGACCACGAATCTTTGTCAAAGCTTGCTAGTGTAACAAACAAAGATTTGATATCATCCGAGGAATCCCAGATCGTGTAATGCATTGAAGGATGCCGGATCCGATACCGAATTGAATTATGATCTGGGATTCCTATCATCAAGACAATAGACTGTCCGATATACAACAAGAAAACGTTATCGGATTTCCATAAGATATGGAGGTAGATGCCAGGGCAATCACGCTTTTCTGGCTCTCCAGAAATCCGAATCAAATCCTCAACATCGTGTATTCCATTCTGGAAGGCAAGTATTACTTTGGGATTGAGGCTGTTGATAAGCTTGCACTTGGGATCCAGATCGGTGTTTGGGTTGTTAAGTTTTGCCTGACGAAATGCTCCATATCGCTCACTATATTTTGTAGATGCCATTTCGATCACTTGATCCAGAATCTTGAGGTGGTCAACCTCTCCAAGAGGAGGTAGCTCGACTAGTCCTTCAATTGGCTGTCTAATAATCTGCAGGATCCGCTTTTGATTTTGACTTTGGTCTTGTGGTTGGACAGATGGATTGGAGATATTGTTTGGTGTTATCAAGGCTGTCTCGATTCGTTTTTCTTGCGAATTCTGGTTTCCAGGTTGATGTCGATCATGATCTTTGTTTTTCTTGGTCGAGGATAGAGCCCTAGGCACCAGAAACAATGATCTTGTCTGGGTCTTTGATGACAAATTAATATCGTTATCTGCATCATCGAATCCGATAATGGAATTCTCATATTGTTCCAGTTGTACTGAAGGTGATACCAGGGCAAGAGGTATTGGTGGGGCATCTTCTAGAATGGTAAGTGAAAGGCCATAATCTTCCAGACTAAATCGAGATCGATAGTCGATTGTCATCTTGATGCTGCGGCATGGAACTTCAAGTCTTGCAAAGTCCTCTAAAGGTCTCCTTGGGCTCCAGCTATCCTTTCGTTCCCTTATACCCGTCTGAGTGACATAGAGATCATTTAGATTCCAATAAAGAACCGTTGTTCCAAGTCGTATCATCTTCACGCCTTCTGCATGTAAAAGGATATCCTGATTTGCGTCTCGGATTTGGCTTTTACGCACAGCCGGTGGGATAAAACGAACAAACATATCCTCGTACTGGTGTACAAGGCTGCATACAACTCGAGTTCGGAGTGCTGCAAGCTCTGGAGACTCAAAAGTATCATGAACATGAAGAGATTGAGGGCTGACGTTGAAATCAAATTTCGCAACAAAGAACCATATCATATTTGGTAGAAGTGGCGAATGCTTTTCAAAGAACGCTGGGTGACCATCTTTAAATACATCGACCGCAAGTGCTGCCTCTCGGGTGGATTTGGTGTCTGTCGCTTCGACATTTGTCATGAGGTACAATGTCGAAATAAGTTCGGGAACTGACTTAGAAGAGAATTTCGGTCGAGGATGTTCGGTTGACTTGTGATCAAAGGCTGGCAAGGACACAGGATGAAGCGTTAGCGGATGATCTGGGGCTACCCCAGTAGCATGCTTTGGCTCGGTATCTTCTGGTTGGCTTTCCATTTCTGGCGTATTCAAGCCTGTGCGACTTGTGGTAGAGAAGGTTGGAAGTGTAAAGTGAATGTGAGGTAGTTGCTGCGCTTGCACCACCATTGCTCTGTTTGTTACAAAACCTCCAGGCTGCCCCATAAATGCCCTATTATTACCCTGTGTGGTTCTGTCTAGCTATACTACTACATAAATGAGCACCGGAGCTGGCCAAATTACAATGTTCGCTCTAAATAACGAAACAGTGAGAAAAAAAGGCCATCCAACCCCACAAAAGCCACTCTCCAGTCGCCTACCATCTACTCCGTTATTTTCCAAGGTTGACAATCCGATTCTTCTATTTACCCACCTACTAGGTAGTGTGCATGAGCTTGAACTTGACGTGGAGGTACTGGGCATTGACTTCAAGTTCCAAGGTTCTAACCTTGGAAACACCTGGGCACTTATCGGGACTACTGAATTCCGTACATTGTTTAACAACAAACTATCTCGACATGATGTGCGCTTTTAGTGACTGAATTTCAGATGTTGAACATATTTAAATTACTTTACGAGTACATCAGATCCACTACAACTGCATCAGTCAATTCTCCAGTGAACACGAGACAGGGGATAGTGGAGATCCGGGTTAATTGCACAGTGGTCATCTATACATCGAAGTGTCCAGTGCAAGGCTGGGTTGAAGGGGGTGGTAGCAGTATACGATAGAGCAGAGAGGGAGGAACAGCTTTTCATGACAACGATTCTTTTCTGGAAATTGGGAGACATGATTCAAGGGTTACATGATGTGCGGACATGAGTCAATGGGGGAGGATACATGAGGTCTTTGGGCTACATGACTTGCAATGCTATAGGGATGCGAAGGGGTCTTGTCTAATTAAAAGGCAGGATAGGAAAGGTGAGGGTGGGTAAAAATAGTTTGTATCACAAAACGAAAAGGAGAAAGGAGAAGGAGTTGGAAAAGAGAAACGGCCATAAAGGGGAAGAGGTGGATGGGATTTCAGTCGAGGGTGTCATCAGGAGGATTGGCAACCAGAAAGAAAAAAGGTGCTAGGAAATGGGAGGCTAGCGGAGGTCAAGAGCCGGGACTGGGCGAGGAGATGATACGGGTAGACCTCCTGGGGGGGATTGGGATTGGAAGAGCGTAGCAGTCATTAAAATCCACTGGCAACGTAGAGGAACGTAAAGCAACGTAGAAAATCGACATTCGCGAATGGAAATACCAATCCGATACGAGGGGTAAGACAGCCCGGAACTTTTGGGTTTAAAAGCCATGGGTGCCCTGGGCTGCTGTCCGAAGCCGACACTTTGCTGATCCTAGCTTAGAATCGGGAGTGATGTTGAGGGGCAGCAAGTCATCATCGTTAGGATGAAACCTCTCGGGTGCTAGACTTAGGACATACCAGCGCCAAGGTTGATTTGGCGCTTGACCTGCTCGCGAGTCCAGCGGGCGGTCTCAATGGTCCGAGGGCTGTACTGACGAGTGGTACGGGTCTCACGGACGAGAGCGGTGACCCAGTCGTTGCGGAAGTAATGGGCCAGCTCGCCGTTGGGGAAAGAATCGGCAAGATCACCGAGAACACCCATAGAGGAACGCATCAGGCCTTCACTGCGGTTACCCTCCTGGGAAATGATATGAAGGAGCTGGAAGATGGACTCGATGAATGGCTGGAGCTGAGTGATGGAAGGTGTGCCCTTGTAAGAGAGCAGGATACCACCCCAGGCATCCATGATACCCTCGCGGAGGGAAACAATGTAGTCGACCATGTCGAATGGCAGGTCGTTGCTGGTGGTAACCGAAGAGGCTTGCTGGAGAACACCGCCTACAACAGTGAGGTAAGTGTCGAACTGGGTTCCAATGGCCTGAGCAATGTCACCGAAAGTCTCCAAGATGGCAGGCTTGAGCTGGTTGGTAGCAGTCTGTAATTGATTATGTTAGTGAATGTCCTACTGGATCTGATCTACAGAACATAGAACTTACCCGCAAAATGCTCAGTAGCAGGTTCATGAAGTGGTCGCAGAAAGGCTGGACCTTGTCGTTTAGGGCACGGGCAATATCGCTGACGAGGCCGATGGCCATGCCACAGAGACCGGGCTCCTCCTGGTTGCCCAGAGCATTGTACAGGAAGGGGCTGAATTGCTCCATGTACTTAACAAAGTCCTCCTCCATAGCGCTGGCAATAGCACCAACGGTGGCGAAGATAACATCAGGAACACTGGATTTGGCTCCGATAGTCTGGAGAACCTGGAGCAGAACGGTCATAATGCGGTCGGCCTGGGGCTTGATGTCGGTCTCGAAGCGCTGGACGATGGCCAGGATGACACTGATCAAGCTAGTTTGCATCTCCTCAAGAAGCATGCGGTCCTCGGCGCTGACCACCTGTTGCTGCATGGGGATGGTCTGTTCAAGGCGCTGGAGGATGACGTCCGAGAGAGTAGCAACCATAGCGAGGCTGTCGTTGGCAGAGTTTAGGACGAAGGAGTTGAGAACCTCGTATCCAGCAGTACGCAGCTGGTTGTCAGCATCCTGTCTAGGGGGAAGTTAGCTAGGTTGAAAATATAGAAAAATTACCCAGAGATACATACCGCTCAGTCACTGTGAGGAGAGACTTGACACTTTCCTCGAAGTGCTTGGACAGGGGGTTGGTCTGGGAGCCGGCATCACCAGCGAATCGGTCGGCAACATTCATGAGAGCCCAGCAGCAGGAGCTGGCAATCTTGGGGCTGCTGGCAAGACCGTTGAAAAGGCAGGAGATAAGGGGCTGCAGGTGGACCTCGGGGTCGAGAACCTCGGGGCAGCAGTCGCAGACACGGCCCAGGGCATAGGCAGTTGAGTCACGAACCGAGACGGAGTTGTCCTCCATCATTCCAAGGAGAACAGGCAGAGCCTGTTTGATGAGGGGCTCCAGAACGCGGGGCTCAGGACCCTCCATGATACCACCGAAAGCGGCCACGGCGGCATCGCGATAGTGCCAGTCCTCATTGCGGATGTTCTCTTCAACGAATCCAACAACGGGCTGGATGACATCGCCCTGTACGCATTGGGCGTAGAGCTGCAGCGCTTGGTAGGCGGCGCGCGACACGTTATATTCTTCATCAGTGGCATCCTCATCCTGGCGGCACATAGCTTGCAGGAGAACGGGGACGACCTCGCGGGTGGCCACACGGGCAAAGCCGAAGAAAGGACGGGCCTCGACACCTTCTTGGGCCGCTTCGGCGTTGTCGTCTTCGATAGCAATCTCTTCTTCGCAAACAGTGCACCAGAACTCGATGGCAAGCTTGGAGACTTCCTCCTCCTCGCTCTTCATTCCCATGATGCTCAGGCCGAACAGAGCTTTCTCCATGTAGAAGCGCATCTTCTCGTAGTATGCGCCCATGATACGGTTCAGACAACCGAATGCACCAGCTTGCACACGGACCTCATCGGCCTGAGTGGCCTCACAGACAACCTGCATAATGTAGTTGCGCTCACCCTCGTTATCCATGTTGGACCGCACAAAGTCAACGGCATCACTGAGGGCGTTAATGGCAGCAAAGCGGACCTCCATGTTGGGCTCCTCCCGACGGGCACCCTGGACGACAGCCGTCAGGATAGCATTTGAGTGTTCGATCAAACTCTCACGAAGTTCGGAATCTTGGGAGTCGCAGATATAACCAATAGTTGTCAAGGAGGATTGCTTCAGGGAGTCGCTACCGCTCGCCACGTTCTGGACGAGAATATTCATCAGATCGGGCCACTCCTTGCGGGGCAGCTCGATGGCCGCAATAGAGACGATCAAAGTGGCGGCGGCATTTCCGGACTGAGCGTTGGTAGAGTGGAGGGTCTTCAGGGCGAGCTCCTTGACCTGGGTCTTGGTCTCGGGGTTGACCTGTTGAATCCATCGCTGTTGCACCTCACGCAGCTTAGCCTGGTCTCGGAAGGTGAAGGCGTTCTTCAAGGCGATACCGGCGGCAACACGGATATGGGCAGGGCTTTCATCGTTGGCCAGTTCTTGGCCTAGTGTGATAAGATAGGCGGCCTAGGAAAAAATAGAGACGATGCGCGTTAGCGGGTCGCTGGGGAAGATCGAGGGGAGGTCGCAGCTGTCTTGTGATGACACCTAAAAAGCAAGGCAAAGGAAAAAACATGAAAGATGGAAGGGTATCACATACAAAGTCAACTTCGGCGGCGTGGGCGAGCTGCTGCTCAGCATTGGTACGCTCCGCCGCATCTGCGAGAGAAAGAGAAAACACGGTCAGCGAGGGGTTCCCGCACACAGTTGACCTCGAGGGCACACGACGAGGGCATCATGTGTCCGTCAAAGAAAAGAGAGGGGGTGATCACGGAATCCATACCTGGCGCGAGGGTACTCTGCAGCACCTGACGAGCATCCATGATGTCTGTAAAAAAGGAAACACCGAGAGAAGGGTCGCGATGTGGGGGTAAAAGGGAGGAGAGAGAAAAAAGGAAAAAGAAAAAGAAAGGTGGAGAAGAAGGTGATCAGAGCTCTCTAAGCCTGTAGAAGTATAAGGGATCGATCCAGGCACGAAATCAGCAACCACGGGGTACAGCAGATGTGGTGACAATTCAGAATCCCTGGAGTGGTAGGTGGGTGGGAAAGGACGGGGTGTTTTTGTGGATATGACGAGGCATGCACCAGAGCCGGGAGGCGTCGAGAGGATAAAGGTTCCTTTGGGGGCGCAGCGGTGGCCTTGGTCGAAGCAAATCGGCGGGGAGGGGCCGTGAGAATGAAAGGTATGGTCTCTTGTTAAAGAGGGAGTATGGAAGCCAGAGGCAAGATCGAAGACAGAATTCGACGACAGAAGGCGCCCGGGGGGGGGGATGTTGAGGTCAGTGAGAGGCGGACGTTGATTGGCTGGGGAGTGATGGGTGATGAGGTAAGCCAACATCCACTGAGCAATTCTAAACGAAGGTTTTTTCTCTGGTTGATGAGAAATATAAAATAGTATTTTATAGAGTGCCCGGGTGTATAGATATTTTCTAATAACTAGAACTAAGATTGCTCTTGTCTTGTGGTGCCAGTACCGGTGCTAGTGCCAGCCAGTATATCTCTGCCTCTCTACGGAGTACTTCAACTTCTGCTTGTTTTGGTTTTCCTCCTTGAAGCGCACCCACCAAGCAGTGGCCCCAGCGACCGATCCTTTTAGCCCTGTCCACACAAACACCACCTATTTTACTTCTCCTAGTGAGGCCCACATCGTTCCTGGTGCCTGAGTTGGGCTGCATAGAAGATCCTAGAATAGTCCCGCATAGTTCATAACAAAAGCAAGGGGCAATCTGGAATGGCCTCAGCGTAACTGCCTAGGTACTCTATGTACTAGTACCTAGCTATGATCCGTGATGACGGAATATACTATTCTTGTTGCTACCATTTCAACAGCTGTCATCAACCGATTGGGCCTGGTATTGTTTTCAAATTCTAGTACGGAGTAGTGATAGGTGTTTTTTTTTCCTACAAAGAAAAGTGGATCTGCACTCTTTGACTTCAAATGCAAAAGCAATATGGACATGACAAAGGCCCACAGCCCCAGGACTGTTCAGGGGTTAATCCTTTGACTAGTGGGCAGAGCTTGAAATAGAAACGCACCTATTAGTACTTTTATAAAGAGATCAGGCTGGGTCAATGGCAGAATAACGAAGAGGCAAACCTTGGAAATTATTTTGAAAGAACCTGACAAGAGAAGAGAGAAAAGGACAATGAGCATTTAGATTTATCATTCATCGCCCTTGTATAGTACTTGTTTCTATTACTGGGTTCTTCTATCCGAACTTTATCAGTTCTCAGTATCTTTCCCTTCTTCCTCCTCCTCCTCTTCCTCTTCCTCCCACTCTTCGACTGCAACATCCAAATCCAACACATCATATCGCATCCCGTCTCCATAAAGCACACAAACTGCCCGCCGGCCCCGCCGGCCATTAACATCTAGCCACACTGGTTTTGCCTTAGGACCAGATGGCGGAAAAACGTGTTTGATGGCGTTTATCTCTCCCAAAGAAGAAAGCTCAAGTTGAGCGACGGGAGCCGGTGGCTTGGGAGTGGTGGGGGATGTTTCACACTCGACATACTCGAGTCCTAAAGCGGGGGAGTCCGCTTTTCCAGACCTAGGCCGAAAGGAAAAAGTGAGCAAGTAGGAGCGTTCTGGTCAAAAGTTAGCATCTGGAGATCCCCATCAAAGACGATTAAAGATATGTTTACCTTCGCTAGACCAAAGTACTATGATCGTATCATCGTCGACAAACTGCAGTTGTCGTATTTCACCTTGTTGGACTGAAATGGCTGCGACAGATGTGCTGCGAGTGGAACTGACACCATTGAGGGAGTCGAGAATTGTGCGGTAGATGTAGAATGACTCCTTGGAGCTGCTTGACCTGCTCGCAGTGTAGATAGAGCACGGGCGTTTCTCCTCGGAATCTTCGTAGCGAATCTTCAGGTCAAGAACATTTGGATCGCAGTCCGAATGCAATGTAAGCGGTGACCGGTGCAGAATACCTCTCCGCTGTGTCAATGCAATTTCCGCAAAGACCTTCTCGAACTGGATACCAAGTCGATTCGTCAAGTCATTCAGCCTAGGCGTATCAACACTTGACCCATCACCTCCTTCATTTTGTACTTTGCGTTGCTGCTGGAGGAGTAATTTGAACTCATCGTAGAACGAACTATCGTGTCCGTCTGGAAGCCATTTATTTGTTGATGAGGTTGGCATCATGGGCACGCCAATCATAGGTAGCTGACGGATGAAGTTCCGCAAGGCACTTTTCTGTAGCGCACCGGTGATGTAGTTCACCGTGGGCGGGACTTCAAACAGTTCTCGCTTTTCGAGATTCTCCTCCAATGTTTGCGACAGGGGCTCACTATTTAGAATCTCGATCTCATGGCGAAGCCATCGTGAAAATGCAGCAAACTGGACTAGCTCTTCGTTGGCGTGATTTAGGATGCGATGGGCGAGAAGGTGTAGACAATCTAAGGTCTCGACAATGCCGTTCAACTTTTGTGTGTCTAATCCGAGCACGTCGCTGAGTTTGTGGAATTTTGACAGTCCTACCAGTCGGCTGATAAGGACCTGGCTTCGCTCCAATGCTGGAAGGAGGCATTCGTGTGTTAACCGGCGGATATTCTCGTAGCCCCCGGCAACAGCTTTATCCCATCGTTTGTGGCCCTATTTCTGGATTAGTTGATGTCTTTCATATGTATGATAGACAATACATACTCGATCTCCAACAATATCCACCAAAAACTCCTTCATCGGCTCAAAACAATGCCCAGTAACAACCAGGTGGTAAATAGCCGTCACGAAATCACATTGACATTGATCCTGTAGATCCTGATTCACACTTCGCAGGAAACGCGCGGGTAATTCCTGGGCATTCTTCCACTCCATTTCAATCTGACGCTGGACTTGTCCAATGTACCGCAGCAAATTCTGAAGCTGGGTCGTCTTGGACGCTAGAAGAGAAAGATACCGCCCAGACTTCGTGATGAAGCGCAAGTCGAGGGTGACAATGCTCAGCGGTGATGAAGAGTCCCCTGTAGTCGTCGATACTACCAGGGCATGAGTTGAACTCAAAGGATGAGAGGCATGGCGGAGAATATGACACGATTTCGCTTGTGGTGTCGCGGTACCCACGGGAAACGAGCCGATCTCGAAACAATCAAAGATACGCAGGTGGACACTCCCGTCGTCGAAGCCAATAAAGAGGACATCCACCGAGTCGCTGGCATCTTTCGCATAAGAGTGGAATATAGCATCGATGGAGGCGCGTGAGCTGAAGAGATCATCTTCAGCCCCCGTTGCGGGTAGTGTGCTTAATTTAGGCAATGAACTCTCGATGTCAAGCAATGCAAGCTCTCGTGGCAGGTCAGCCTTCAGCAGAGCCGCTGCTTTGGACGGGTGGATTCCTGGAGTCAATAGGTCATCCACGGAGACCTGGCCAGCGGGGTCTTGGAGATGCTTTTGTGCAGCTTTGCTATCGGTGAAGTTCAAACCCCAGCCTAGACATGTCACCTTCGGAGTTGTTTGCTGGCCAGGAGAGAAGAACTCTTCGCTTGGTTTGTGGTACGCCTGGTAGTGATGGACTGTCTTTCCGCTATAGGCACTAAGAATGCGCAAAGATCCATCTCCACAGGCGACAGCGAGAAGTCGACCTGTGAAAAAAATAAATTAGAAAGTGTTCTCTGAATCGACTCATCCAAGTCTCGATCCTTGTAGATGGACATGGTCATGCCACTGTGAAGAAAGTTACTCACCGTTACCCTTCCACGCCAATGCTCTCACCTCCCCGTCTTCCTCGTCATCGTCGAGGTAGGGGTCACCTCCAAACGAGCCACCGAAGACGTGCTGTCCATTCAAGCGGAATACGCGCAGCTCCTCGTCGTCGGTCGCCAGGGCGATAAGGTCCATCGAGGGACAGTACGCCAGGGTGGTGGCTTTACATTTTGCCGGCAGGGATTGCTCTCCGACCGGCGTGAGCTGGGGGCCCTCTTCTGCCATATTTTCCGTTATATTACAGGCTGTGAAGTTCAGCCCATTCTTTTTGGGTATTATTTTCGCTGCGTGGTCGCGGCCTTCCGTTTGTTGTTGGCGGAGTGGAAGAGTCGCGGCGGACTCGGGAGATTCTTGGCGCGTATTTTGTGGGCGCGCCGTGAGTGACGACCGACTAGGAATTACCAACAATTTGACGATACGACAATCACATCAAGAATCGAATACTACCCATGTTTAACTGGGTATGAAACTAGTAAGAATTATCATTATCAAAGAATTGAATTTAAACCAGGGCACATATAATGTTCGTGTTCGTAGTAGCTTCCATTGTACTATGTTATGGTAATATGTCTATTGAAATTGGTACAAGCACCCGGTGACCAGCACCTGGGTTGTTGAATAGCGAATGTATTTAGAAAGGTTCTCCATCCATGTCGGATTGGATCATGTTCTTGAGATAGCTGAGTTCATCCATCAACTCCTGCATAGTTCTCTTGCCCTGGGAGGAGCCATCTCGAGATCGAGATCGAGATCGGACTCTGTCGAGAGCATCCCGATGCTGCTGGCTCTCCCTTTCCGGGAGGATGATTGGAGATCCATCCGGACTTCTGCGCGACAGAGAAAGGGCTTCCATCGATTTGATTGCGCTAAAGAGGGCTGCGTGGCGTTTGGGATTGCTTTCAACCTCATCCATCTGATCAATCCCTAGGCCAGAGCCCTGGAGACCAGGAGATGCCAAAGATATGGCGAGTTCGGGAAGACAATCGTTCCATGGTGGGAGCTCGCCGGAAGCGGAGTTCGGCGATGATGGTTTAGAGTGAACGGTGAGATGGGGAGTGTTGGGATCGGTATTGGTCATTGCGTCATTGGACTGGGACAATTCTGGCGTTCTCCAGTCGTCTACGGCTGGTGACTCGTTCGTGTCTTGATTGAATGTGGAGGTGGAGATCATCGACTCGGGCGAATTATCCTCGGCTTCAGTGTCGGTGTCAGTGCTCCATTCGGAGAAGCGACTTTGCTCGGGAATGAAACGAGAGTGGGTGGTATCGTCTGCTGTGGTTGCTGTCATGATAGAAAAGTGGCTGTGCGGTACCTCTGAATCCATGACTCTGTCGTGATCATCAATCTCGCGTACAGCCTCGTCCATCACGGATGAAGGTGTATTGGGAAGTGTCGGTAGTCTCTTGTCATTGACATCCTTTCCGGTAGGCGTAGTCTGGTCACTACCCGGATTGCTTGCGATAAATTCCAGAGCGTCCTTGAGTGCGCGTGTTTCATCCACCGTCCCCAGATTGTTACCAGCTGCCGCGCCTCTCGAGGGGCTGGGCTTACGAGGCTGGGGGCGCGTTTGCACTGTGAGCAGATTCAGTGCTGGGGCATCGCCGCCCTTTGCCTTGAGCGCGCGGCGGCTTTGGATCGTCGAGAACTCGGGAATATTCGCTACCGGGGAAGCGGCTCCAGTGTTGACATTAATTTCGGGAACTTTTCGGCGATCACTGGTGCTCCCGTCATGTCGGAGAACTCCGTTGACTGTCTTGGACCTTGGCAAAGGTGAGATCTGTCCTTGGCCTTCTGTCTCATTAGCAGGCCGGAGTGCTGCAAGAAGAGCGCGGGCACGTGGTGGAGAGGCAGAGCGTGCGTCTTTTGAGTGGAAGCCCCTAGCACTGCCCGGCTGCGATGCACTCCTATGCACCATTCCGTGAATTGGCGAGGTACTTTGGGAATGCACGGCTGGGGGCTGTTTGCGAGGCATGGCGGTTTGCAGGCGTGCGGGGACCGGTTGGGGTGGTTTGCGTGGGTTCATAAATTTGTCCTTTGGGTTCATGGTTCGGTAGTCTGCCTTTTGCGAACTGTTGCTGCCAGTGCGGCCATGAGATCGACTATCGGGTAAAACGATAGGCACGTTCAAGACATTCACAGGTTGTCCCGGGAGAAGAGGGCATTTAGTCGTTACCGGCTCATTTTCATTAATGGATTCTATGTCATCATCCAACAAGTACTATTTCTATTAGTTAGCTCTTTTCTCGACCCAAAGATGACCTGTAATAACTCACATAGTACCAGTATGTAGCACCCATTTTAAGTCCACCGGTCCGCCATTGGGATTGTTCACCTAACGAGCCGCTAGGGCCATCACCCATGATATCGGTAAAGGTGTGACACCCTTTCCAGTGGCCCGCACCGACGCGCTTATCTCTGTTCATCACATATTGCTTCGTGAAATTGTCCCATGATCCTAGCAGCTTGACCGACCGGGTTTCGGGGTTGGTATTTCTGATGTCGATGTTAATCACATATTCAGATGAGTTGGACCAATCGGACTTACAGTAAGAAAGTCATGAGGGTAGTCGATATCATCGCACGATGGCGATCGCTCAGAAAAGAGAAGTAGGTAGCGATGGCAGCAAATGCAAAGTTGGAATCGCGAACAAATGCAAAAGAGAGAGAAAGAACAATGCTATGATGAGTAGAAGGAAATAGAGAAAGAGATGCACGCCAAAGGATCAAAAAGAAAGCAGACCCAATATAGTACAGAGGACAATGCAATGCAATGCAACGAGTGATTAGTTCAAGGGAACGAGATGTTGAGAAAACGATAGATTCTCGAACAAAACCAAAGAAAAAGGAATGCAAAGGGAATGGAAGAAAATAAAGACCGTGAAAGCAAATAGAGCAAGAAGACCGGACAGGCGGAATATAAGGTGCGACAGAGCGCAGTCCGGAATAATAAACAAAGCTGTTTCTATAATTACAACCCCGGCAGCACGCCAAGTGTAAAGAGGACGCAGGTACACGCTGTACCTGTTTCAGGAGAGGTGATTGACAGGTCTAAGAATAAACGGGTCGTTCGAGGAATGTTTCGGGCAGCGCCGCAGACACAACAGCCATGGGCCAGCCCAGATGGGCAGCCCGCAGGAAAATGCGACGCGAATGCTTCAGGAAGCGCGGTGGGTGGAAGTTGGCAGTTTCCCAATTTCCCCAAGCACTTCTCAGGGCAACAAGAGTGACCAATGGGGGCGAGTGTAGGCGAAGCGCTGAGGGATACCTGGGACCAGGGTACGGCGCTTCGACCGGGGTTGGCGTTGGTAAAATGTTGTGACGGAGGATTTCTGGTGGTTCTAGCCCCGGCTGAAAGTACCGATGAGTGTGTCCTTTGGACTCCGGATCGTAGACCAGTGATGACGAGAGGAGGAGAGGAGAGGAGAGGAAGTGGCTGTATGGAGGGAGTAGCAAAGCTAAGGTTTTTTTCAGCGGTGATAAGAGATCGGCGCTGCGGGGATTTTGGTGATGACTTAAGTGCCGATCGCGGGAAAATGGCTGATGGCTGTACTCGTAGGGAGAGCGGACATGAGTGGAGCTGTGGTAATGGCGCAAAGAAATTAAGATGAAATAGGGACCAAGTGGAAGTGGAAGGGAAGGGGAACGGTGAAGCAGAGGCAGAAGGGGAAAGATTGGCATCTACACGCGTGTTGGACGTACCGTGGTTCGTCAAATCTCCACGCTGCAAGGTACGAAGTACAGGACACACCTCGAGAGTATAATTACGGAGTACACATTGCCATTTCAACTCTTCTATGGTCAGTGAATCCTGTTCCATCACCCCCACTCCCACAGCCCAGTAACGCCACCGTCATCGCGCAAGTTAGATCTGCACAGGCAAGGGCGCGTCTTGAAGTGGCTTTCCCCTGATGCAAGTGTGAAGTGCCGATCACTCGTTTCATTGGCCCCTCACTTGGGTTCGGCCAAGAACCACTCCACTCGGTTCCTACCGCGGCGGCAGATGATACGTCCGTTTCAGACCTTGACCTGAAGGGCTGACACGAGCTTCAGCAAGGCCATGCCATGGTCGGGTATAAAGAGGCGAGGGGAAATGAGTAGAACCTGTTCTCGAAGTACACTTCGACATAAGGATTTGGACCTCTCGCAAAGGGGGAATGAGAACTCAGAACTCAAGACTGGGACTAGCGATGGAGCTGCCCCAGTAGAAATTGCGGTGATCTCATTTTTTGAGATAAGATGGATCTGTGCGAAGGACGGGCATACCACATGGCACTTACTCCGTACTCCGTACCCTAAGGGTAGACCTTACCTATAGTGTCGATAGTGTCATTTCCCCGACTGGAGGACTCCCTATTCTACTCCGTATACTCTCAACCTAATGATCCTATGTGCGGAATTACAAATCGTAGCTACTACTGGTAGTCGCCCTAATATTTCTACTAGGCTACTTGGTTGGGGTCCCTCTCACTAACTGAGTCTAAACAGTCGGTGAGTACGGAAGAGCAATCATCAGGAAGTATTTACGGAGTATCGAGCTTTAATTTCACCCCATCCACTTAACCGGACGAGGTCCGGGCGGCGCAATGACCAATGATCATCGCCCAAAATTGGCAGATGCTGTACAGCCTACTAGCAAGGATCGTACATAGCCTTGTGAGATGATTTGCAATCATGAAAATGCGTTAAATTATTCAAAACCGACCGGCCATTCTAGCTACCTTTCCAACCACAACGCCAAAGAAATTCTATCAAGAGCCCAGCTCGGTCCCGTCAAATTCAATGAAATAAAACATAGAAAGAAAAGAAGAAAACAAGATAAGATCCCCTCCGAGGTCAAATGATAATAGAAGAAAAAAAAAAAGCCAAACTGTATCTTCCTAAACCTGTCGTCGATCATACTTCTTGTTCACAGCCCCAAGTACACACTTCAAGATCCCCTCCGCATCCAACGACTGACCCCTCTTCCCTCTCCAGGGTACAGTATCAACGATATCTCGCAGATCCTTATCACTGCAATGTCTGCCAATATCATCATCAAGCTCCTGTAAATATCGCTGCACGCTCTCATCATCGCCAATCTGGAAGAACTGGATGCCCACCTGCCACGGCAGCGCATGGCATCGCGGATGATCCAATGTCTTAGCCACCTGCACAATGACACTCTCAGCATCATCCGTAAACTCGCCATCTGTGATCGCAATGATATTGATCGGCTTGACAAACAACGAAGGGTCACGCAGGGACCCGTCGGCATTCCGCGAGGCTTGCATCATCTCCACGCGGTGGAGGTAGGGGGTCAAGATCTCCAGCAGGCGTCTACCCACAGGCGTGGAGCCGCGAGGTCGGACACCGCAGAAGATTTCTTGCACATCATCGGCTGTGGTGATGTTCTTGTAAGCACCGGTTGTATTGGCTGTTTCTGCGCGGCGATGGTTCAGAAAGTAGAGGTCGATTCCGTCGTGGTCGTATTGTGTGCAGATGGGGGCAATGGCAGCGATGGCTTCCTCGGCTTCGCGCCAGCGCGGCCCGCTCATGCTGGAACTATCATCGACGAGGAATATTGTATCGAAATCTTTGAGGAAAGCGTATCGGGAGTCAAAGTCGCAGCTTGAGCCGTTTGTTACGGTGGGCGCTTTCCAATCTTGTGAGTCGTAGGCTGGTGGGTCCCATGCTGGGACCTTCTTGGAGGGCTTTCGCATCATTGCGAAAAGCTTGTTATCGCGTAGTCGGGTGCGTGGTGAGGTATTGTTGCTACCCATTGGTGGCATATCGTGGCTGGTGGACAACGCTGATAGGCGGCGACTACTAGTATCTCTTTGACTGGACGGGAAAGAGGACCATAATGGTGGAGGTGTGGATTTTTCGAAATGAGGCATGATGAGAGTTGTAGTAGTTAGGTACCAGTATTCGTTGGGTCCAATTCGTATGATGCAAAGAGGATGCAATAAGTAGGGAAGAGTGGTAAAGTTTTGAGGTTCCACAGTTGTATTTGAATGATACTAGGCAAAGAAATGGCGACGGTCAATGCCTCTCTTTATATCTGAAGTAGTTCTTTCAGATATTATCGCGGGGTCCATTGCATTTGGTTCACGTCGGCAATAACTAGATGGTAAGGCGATATCTTGAATGGAGCGCAAGGCTCACTTGGCGCAGGGGCTCACAGGGCTGGGGTTGTGTTCACAACCTCTGAGCCCGGACAACAGCCCAGACCCTTGGGTACTTACAGGGCTGGCGTGCGGGGTTCAGGAAACCAAAACATGCCTAAGCCTTCCCGTTTCAGGCCTTTGTCATTGATAGGCTCTTTCGTTTATGACAATGGAGCTACAGACCCTGGCGCTAGGCAGTCAGGCTCCGAAAGAGCAAGACTGCCTACCTAGGTATCCTAACTTTATTAAATCACCAGGGCATTTTTTAGATTAATCCTTGGGTCCTTGGGACTCCGCCTCTAGTTAGCGAGTCAGACAGGGATCCACACAGGGCGCTCTTATCGTGTTACGGCTTTCCGGCAATGGGCTGTGCTGGGCACATTAGGAGCACTCCGCCCCAACCCTGGCGAATGAAGGCGCAGCATGAAGTATATTGTAGGACATCGCGCAGAACCAGAAATGGGCTTCAATAGTGCCAAATTATGATTTCATAATCTATGTAGTGGGGAAAATGTAAGCAATAATAAAAAGGAAAAGGAAAAGAAATTATCTGGTCGTTGCCAGTCACTATGCGTCATAATCATTATCCATGCATGCAATCGAACACCCTGCCTATTTCGTGATCCTCCCAGTTCCGAACTGCGCCCCACAACCTGAGATATAGCCAATCATTATTACAGAGGAAAGAAGTTTGTTTGTTCTAGAAGTGTCAGAAATATGCCTCGGATGCAGGTATGTCCTTATAGGGCATATCGAGCAGTGCCACGGGGTCCTTTCGGGTTGAGCTTGCGATCGAGATTTTCTGACTGGGCACCCCCTCCTCAAAATGGAGAACGCCCGGGTCTGCGGCGACCATATCCATCAAGGCAAGCGCCTGGTCAATGCCCATGGCGTTTCCAATCATCTTAAGAGCATCCCCAACCCACCGACGGAGGGAATGACTAGGGTTCTCGACCACACCGGCTAAGAACAGTGGCCACAGCAACGTCAGCCCACCCAGGTAACTTTCCGGGGTGGACAATTAGGAGAGGCGTCTTTCTGGTGTGCACCCAGGTGATAAGGCACACTACGACAAATATCAACAGCCAAGCGCCGGATGGTGGCTCGAATATTCTTGCAATGAACCTGGAACTCCTCCGACATTTCGAGCTTGGAGCTGTCGGAGACTTTCCACATATGAGAGAGTATCAGTTCGCTGACGAGGATACGTGCACAGCGGTACTGGTTCCATACGTTGCAGACCCAGAAATTTGGGTAGACGTGGTATTTGTCGTCCAAGGGGCGAAGGCCTCGGCAGCGTTCTTGGAAGAGAAAGTCGTAAGGAGATTTAGTGAGGGTTTCATAGGAGAGGTCGGGCGGAAGCGCCGCCAACCAGGCGACTATTTCCGCCTCGATGGCCGATGCTGCTGCAATGATTTCCTGGTCGTCGGTAATGATTTTGAGCTGGATGTCTGCTCGCAAATTGGACAGTTTGCCAATAAGAATAATTAAACGATTGCTGTAGGCTTCTCCTGGTCGCAGGAGTATAGTCAACTTTGAACATTCCATGAGAGATTCGGGTACGTGACAATCTCGCTGTATGCAGCTGATGATCTACCCGATCATCTGGTTAGCGCTGTGATGGACGAGATGGTATATCAACGACGGTACGCACAATTTGATATCTTAAATGCAAGAAAAGACGAATTCCAGCTTCGGTCTTAAGTTGATCGGTGCCTCGCAGGTCGAGTAACGCCGTAGCGCCAGATATATGGTTCGTCCACAATGCAATATCCCGTGGGGCACGTGCTGTGACAAGCTGTCGAAGAAAGACAAGAAGTTAGATCTGCGAGTCATTGGACAGGGGCCACTATTTATGTCTTACCTCATATACAGCAAGCAGTACAACAGCCCCCAATGCTTGATTGGTCTTTGCTTCTTCTATATCCGCAAGGGCTATATTGAGAAGGTTCAAAGCATTGACGTATTCCTTCCTCGCCACATCTCGGAGAGAGTTCATCTTTCTCACGCGGCAGAGCATGGCCGATGCGACAGCTGTCATACTAGCCCGCATCGCTTGGGCACCCACTTGGTCACCAGCCTGTGCCAAGAATTTGGTCACAAAGTCACTCATCCAAAAGCTCCCAGGTATGGCATTGGACCGAAAGAGAAAACTCATGGCTTCTTCCTGTGAGGGCACGCTAACTGGTTGAACTTCCATGGGAATTTGCCAGGGTTGCTGCAACTGTTGCAAGTGCTGCATCAGCGGCCCAGACAGTGGGTCGGCGTTGAAATCGAGTAAACTAGTGTAAGACGCCTCTCCCGGAGAGGAGTCCGACTGAGAGTTCCCATCTGGGGAAGCCGTGCGAGGCGATCGCCCAGGCGTTCTTTTTGGCCTAGAGGAAGAGGAAGCCGACGAAGTCGTTGTACTTGACCCCGCTGAGGCTTTCTTAACCACTGAGCTACTCTCATCACGGAACATTAGAGATAGCTGATCCCTGTAACCGGGGCAGTCCCGCTTGGCCCGCACGCATTGCGAACAGGCCGGCCGGACTTGGTCACAGCGGATCTTTCTGGACCGACAGTGACCACATCCTTTGCTCGGTTTGCCGCAGTATACCATGATGAAATGCGACGACCGTTTCTGTTAGATCCTAAGGCTGAAGAGGGAGGAGTCATGTAATAAGGTGTCGGTAAAGGCCGACTGCACCGCCTCCGCCTCAGACCCGAGCTTGTTGGGTTAGGCAACGATGTCAGCGCTGCATGCTACATTACATTTTACATTAACGTCAAACAGCGATGATGAGGTTCATATTTAATTTATTAAAATTACATTTACCATGTTGTTATACATTAATATCTAATCACTTCATATTCAGCTCCTAATAACCCTTGCCCTATGCGAGATCTCTTCTTTGCATACCCCCAACATTTGATCGACCTGCTTATGTCACAATGCTTAGGTCATCCAAATATCACCCCGCTACTCCCAATTCGGAAACCACTGCGATGGATAACGAATTTTCATTGGCTCTTGCTGCCAAAGCTTGGCTGAGTCCGTGGATCCCAGTAGGCATTTCGGCTTTAGCGGGCGCAGCCCCGATGGGTCAGTTCTTTTCAGGCTTGAAGCCCGTCTAAAACTTCTTACAGTAGATCTTTTAAAGTGGAGGCTTATTCCCCTGACCTTTCCCAATTTGGTGCATTTTGAGAGCTGCTTAATTTTTCTTCACACAGCCACAGATAGTTTTGTTCGAAAAGGGTATGCTGGATGTATACCTAAGGGATATATAGCAAAATGAAGTCCAAGAATCTGTAGTTTTCCATTCAAGCTATCTTTCAACTCATCGCATTCCACTACTATAACTTGGTTGTTGTCTCTGATACACCTCATATTATTTCTATAATTTGAATACTTTATTTCCTTGCGTCCAGCGAGGTAACCTCGTCACACGACCAACATGACAGTTACCTACCGCCATGGCATCTCTATCCTCGAACTCCTCATCTACCTACCTTCCTTTTTCCTCTCGGGCTTTTTAGTCTATCGCCATGGCTTCCGTCAAAATAGCGGCTTTTTATTCATCTTCACATTTGCGCTGGCCCGGATCGTAGGTGCCTGCTGTGACCTCGCAACAATCGCCAACTTCTCCTTGGGACTTTATATCGCCGCCGCCATTTGCATGGCAATTGGACTGTCACCTCTTATGCTTGCATTGACTGGGTTTCTATCTCGAGCGTAAGCATCTCCTACTAGTACCGAAAAAGCTATCCACTAACTTGACCAAGAAATCTTTCCATTCAACAAAGAACAGGAAAACTCGCTCTCCCCGAATTCGTTTTCGTTGCCTTCCGTCTTCTCGTCACCGTTGCCATGATCATCAGCATCGTGGGTATCACATCCAACATGTCCGAAGAAGGTCTCGCACACCCAGATATCAAAGCCAAGATTGGTATGATCCTGTACCTTGTCGCAGGCGGACAGCTCTGCCTCATGACCGCCTTTATGGCCATGCGCAACGCCTCCATCCAACGCGGGGAGAAGCGGACCGTTCTTGCAGTGGCCATTTCGTTACCGTTTATCATGGTCCGTCTGGTATACGCTGCTCTCATTTGGTTCCTCCATGACTCCACTTTTAGCATGATTGGCGGCAATGTCACGGTGCAGCTTGTCATGTCTGTTCTGGAGGAGTTTGCGGTTGTTATCGTTTGTCTTGGGGTGGGAATTACCTTGAGCGTTCGAAGAAAGGATAATCGTGCTTCTGTGGAAGCTCCATTGACCGATTACCCTTCCCAATCTAAACCCTACTAGATTACGACTGAGAAGTGTTTTTCTTTTCTTTTCTTGGTACAATAGAGGAGTTGTCATATTTATCTGCTACTTATCTGTGAATTTTCGCAAGCGATTTAATAAAGATTAACACACGATACAACATATTAGTTACTTCTATCAAATCATGATGCTTATTCAACCTCGGGAACTTGAAGTTAGCATGAATTGAAACGTCGTAACTGCCTTTAGAAAGAAAGTCACGGAAGGCCTTCAGAGTATATATTTGAACAGCCTGAGTTTCAAAAAGCTGTCTGTCACTTAATTCAAAAAGCCATCTAGCTAACTCGCGAGTAAATAGAAGTCATTAAGTCCGCTTCTTGGCGGAGCTTTTATCAGCCTGGCGGCCTCGTTTTCTCTTCCCAGTGGTTGTCCCTCCAGAGCGCGATTCCTCTTGCTTTAGAAAACCACCACTTCCATCATCATGCCACTCACTGACCTCCCACTCTATTGAAGTGGACTGGTCATCACTCACACCCATACCTCGTCGAGACCGCATCAAACGGCCCAGCCGGCTGCCTTCAACCATCTCCTCAAACCAAGGAATAGCACCGGCCCTGCCATGCTGAAAGTTTCGTGAAATATGACCTGTGCCAGTGAAAGAAGGTACAACAACCGATGAGGTACCCAGAGGTGGTGTGGTGAAGGACCCAGAAACCTCCGCCTCGACCTGGTCTTCGTCTTCCTCTTCATCAAAGTCACCAGGGAGTAGGTCGAGATCTTCCAGTGCTCGCTGATCCTCTGAAAAAAGACTTCCAATAGACACTGACATGAAATCAGCTTCTTCATGAGGCTCCTCAGTCCATACAGTCAATGGGGTTCCGCAAAAGCCGCAGAATACGCGCTGAGTTTCGGGTGCATGGCGAGGAGAAAAAGAACGGCGGATTGAAGTGTGTGTTTCATCGGGGAAGAACGATTCGGTGTGTGAATTGTACCAGTGCAAGGGCACTCGGAGCCATGCAGTAAGTGGGGTACCGTGAAATCGGCCTGTCATTCGTAATTTAGCAAGGCAAACAGTGAGAGTGTCGATGTATGCTAGCGATTACTTACGATTTTCTCGACTGCTGTCAAAGTACACCTCAGCATGGTCTGTCACATTTTCAGGAATGGCGATTGTGTATTGGTTGCGCCCGCAAGAGCATGATCCATGTAGAGACTCGTGGGCCATTGTCGTACAGTTGTACAAGGCGCCGCTAGACTGGGCGAGATCGAGGTCTAGCCCAGGCGATGGAATGGACAGGAAAGTTGATTTTTAGGATGGTGAATTGATGGGTAAGAATGAGTTCAAGATAGATTCCTCGGAGCCTGCTCGAGTTGGATTTGGAGAGAACAAAGAAAGAAAAAAAGTAGCGAAGCCGGGTATGATCGGTGGAGCCTGTCTATGACGTTGAAGAGTGCCAAGGCCCAGAGACTCGAGGTGCTCTTCTCCGCATTGGCCGGACGGATTGGGCCTATCGGTTCGGCTTCCTTCCTCTCCAACCATCTTCCCGACACTGTGTGAAAGAACTACACATTCACTTTTGACAGACACTGTCCTTTACGCCAGATATAACGGAGAAGCCGGAAACCACGATCTGCGAACGATATATCAACTACGTTATCTCTAGTCGGACTACGCACTAGTGTTAGAATGAACCCCGAGATTGACGACGACCGGTCGTCTTCGACCCCGACTGCCGCATCGAAGTCGGTCTCTGGCCAGGACAAAGAGAAGCCCCGCCTGACTGACCAAGAGAAGAAAAACAACCACATTGCTTCCGAGCAGAAGCGCCGCGCCGCTATTCGGGAAGGCTTCGACCGGTTAACAGAACTGGTGCCTGGGCTTGAGGGGCAGGGCCGCAGCGAGAGTATCGTGTTGCAAAAGACCGTCGACTTTATCCACCTGCAGCTGCAAGAACGTCACAACCTCATCGCTGAGATCGAGAACAAAGGAGGCCGAGTGGATGATTCTTTCCGGCCAACATAATCCAGTGCATGCTCGTTAACTATCCCATGTCCATCATCTTTGCGCTTCCCTCTACTCCGACCCGTGATTCTCATGATGGACCGAGGTCTACAAAGCTATCCCTCCCAACAGCAACAATCAACCATATCCACGAATGTACCGTACCACACACGAATTTCTTTCGCCTCTGTCGACCCCTTGGCCCCGGTAACCCGATGATCGGCCATTTTCTTTTTGCCATGAAGGGAGACTTCATTCAATGGATGTTGCTCTAATTTACGAAACGCCCACTCTACTCAGCCTCCGCGACACCGCTGGCCGGATCTTACTTGGAATGGCTTTGTCTTTCAGTTGTGGGGAACATTTTTCCTTCTTTTTGTTCATGTCTTATTTGTACATTTTTGGCACACTATTTCCAATGATTAAGCCCAGACACCAGACTGTATTTGACTACGCCCAGGGCCATTTGCTCTGATACTCAATTCACAGTTCAATGGCATATTGTAATCCACGCAGAATGGTTTTTCTGGGGAACCCTTGGGGCATCCAGGGACCTCGGTGCGCCCAACCGAGGAAGATCGATCACGTGTAGTAACCTCGGTGCATTCTCGGCCTTACCTACTGGTTGAGGAAGACCTCAAATTGAGGAATGATTTTACATTATTGCTTAAAGCAAGGCATTGCGTAGTGACAAGTGCAATTGAGGGCTTTAATTGGAGGGTGGCCTTGTTCATGCTTGACAATGCATTTGACCCGTGGTTATTCCGCTTGATCCTATTATTGGGTCTTGTTGCAAAGGGCGAGATTCCATGGGCTGGTGGTTGTAGACAAGTGGATTGTGGAAGCCTGAAGGATTCATTCTATTCGGTGGGGCGATCGCCTTCAAGAATGTATTGATCGAATCGGGGGCATCTTGATCCTAATACTAATCTAGATAGATCGTCAAGTCGACCTTAGATATGGGATGTACGTCACACACTAAGCACAAACTATAGTCACCCCAGTCATCTGGTCCATTGGGAGAACTCGCATAGAGGAATCCCTTCAAGAATCCGACAACAGTCTTAATATCTATATACGATCAATCACAGATATAATTCATGTCATATACATCCCCCCCTCAACCAATAGAGAAATAGAAATGAGTCAGTGGAGAACTGCGGCAGGACAGCCACGCCGCAATCCATCCACTCCGGACCGCCAAACATTATCACCACCTCCAACAAGAACCTTTCGTCCCCGTCTTCCCTCCCAAAACATAACCAAAAATGTCCGACTCCAAAGACAACCTCCTAACCACCAACAATGAACCCAACGACCCACCACCAGCCTACGACAGCCAAACCAGGCCAAGCCGCGGGGCACCCCTCCCCCGCCCACCACCACTCTCCCTGCCAGTTCTAAACGACCTCCGCAAGCGAAGAGTAATCCTAGCCTCTCAATCTCCGCGCAGAAAACAAATAATCTCCTTCCTGGGCCTACCCAACATCGAAATCATCCCCTCAAACGCAGAAGAGAACCTCCCCAAATCCCTCACCCCGTTTGAGTACGTCCTCGGCACCGCAACAAAGAAGGCCCAAGCCGTCTACGCCCAAGAAGCCGATAACGAAGAAAAGGGTGAACCAGCCCTCATCCTCGCAGCCGACACCGTCGTCGTCGACACCGCTACCGGATCCATCCTTGAGAAACCCCGCTCCGAGGCCCACCATGTCACCATGCTGCGCCAGCTAAGAGATGCGCGCGATCACAAGGTCTACACGGCGCTGGTGGCCATGGCTCCGCTGCAGAGCGCGCGGCAGCCTGGTTATGCGCTGGAGAGCTTTGTCGAGGAGACTTCTGTGCGGTTTGATGGGGAGGTGTCGGATGATTTGATTCTGGCTTATGTGCGGACACGCGAGGGCGCGGATAAAGCGGGTGGGTATGGATTGCAAGGGTTGGGGTCGATTCTTGTGGAGAAGATTGAGGGGTCGTACGATAATGTTATTGGGTTGCCGCTTAAGGCTACATTGAATATTATTCAGAAGGTTGTGAATATGGCGAATGATGAGGATCGCTTGGAGGGTGATCCTATGCTGGATGACGATGAGGAGGATTCGGATTGAGAGGTTATCTTGTTCATGGGACTAGATATGAAAAAAAAAATGGGGTTCAAGTTCTTTCTGATATAGATCAATATACCTTGGTGTCTTTTTCTCTCTCTTTTCCTTTCCTAATTTTACCCTAGTGTTACTAGTACGGATATCAATATAATAAGAAATGAGGTAATGCTGCTGGTACAGAAGTGATATTTCCCATGGGAAACGAGAGATTTAAGCACCGACACAAGCCGGGCAGAGACAAATGAGAAGAAAAAAAAGGTTGACATATACATAGGCGGAACGCCTGGACCAGAGACAAAAGAAACACAAAACACCCTTTTCAAATGACGACAATGAAAACGCTTTATGCGTTCCAGATACGACGCAGGGCCTCAGTGATACCCACATCGTTGGTCTCGAACTCGTACAGACCGACGGCGGTGGTCAGAGTGAAGGCGCGCAGGAGCCAGGTGCAGAGAGAGTAGAATTTGGGAACACGCTGAGGACGGAAGTAATCGATGATGGCGGCCCTGGTAGAGTGTTAGGATTGTGTGACGGATGGATCGGAAACTTGCGGGCTGAGCTTACTGGAATCCAACATGGGAGTGAGCGACCAGGAGGGAGCAGAGGACGGCGTCCATGACCGGGTTGAGGGAGCCAGCGGCGAAGGGAGCGATGGAGAGGGGGACCAGACCGACGCAGACGGCGCTGGGAGCAAATTAGCGATTTCAGAATCTCGAGGGGATTGTTCATGCATTGTTGCACTAGAGAATGTAACGTACCGCTCGAAGGTCCAGTGGTAGCTTCCCTCAGAGGGGTGAGGGCTGGGGACGGGAACGGGGTCGTTCACTATCACGGCGGGTCAGTATGCAGTCCAATAGAAATGACGACATCCGATCCCTCGCTCATCTCGCTAGAAATCCTTTGCTAGGCGTAGAATATCTGGATACGGGGGTTCGGAGAACTTGGAGCTTGAGATTTGCGAGGAGAAAGGCGTCAAGGTTCGAACTCGGATCGACAAAACGTACTGGTTCCCTGGATGGTCTCTGCATGGCGGATAGGGAGTTAGCAGGCGCATTTCAAAATATCGGACAGGACTCCCAATTCATCTGAGGCACACATGTACCGCCAAATATCTCTCGGGGGCCCTCGAAGGGTCTCAACGTACGCGGCAACGGAGGCAGGATCTGCTTCTTCGCGGAAGCGTGGAAGGCGACGGCCTGCGACACGCCAACATTCTGGCGGAGAATGGGCGACCGAGTCGCAAGAGTCTGCCGAAGCAGAGATGGGCGCGCAAATGAGGCCATTGTGACGAGTTGGAGTGGTGAGGGTCGAAGTTGGTCGCTCGCACAAGGATGAAGTTCAAGTTGCCTCGGGAGTCCGACCGGTAACTCGCTCGTCCACTGTCATCGTAGTTTTCCGTCAGGTGATTGGTCCACGGCTTCCCGCTCAGCCGAATTTGGCCGATGCGAGAACATTTAGCCACCGACTAGAACTACTACACCTAGTTTCAAGGGTCTTGATGTTTTGGGTGTCTTATTTGATTGATCTATTTACGTGGAATTGCTCAGGCTTGACGATACAAACTCATGCTACTACTCAGTCTTGCTAGATATGATCTCACCCCCTTCCATGTTGCATTCATTCAATAACCGAGCCATCCCGAAGCTCTCAGAAACAGCCTAGCAGTTGCTACTATTTACTAGTACTACTACCGAGCTTTTTTTATATTCAAGTTTCAAAGTTCAAGTTCATAGAAAAAGTTCATTATAAAAGTCCAGTTTTATTTCTCTGTTTTCATTCCCTTTCATAACATAAAATAACACCCATTCCCAATGATATCGCTAATTTAAAACTTAAGGACGGCCTTGCCCTTGTTCTTGCCGTGGAAGATGCCGACCAGGCCCTCGGCACCGTTGTCAATGCCAACAGTCTCGTGGATGAGAACCTTGAAGGTACCCTCCTTGATCCACTTCTGCACACGCTCCTGGTGCTCCTTGGTGTATTTATCACCCATGCCGGGGTCACCGACAATGAAGCCGCGCATAGTGAGACGCTTCACAAGGATCTGGTGGATGTTCGTGATGGGGTAAGGAGCGGAGTTGTACTGCGAGATCAAACCGCAGGTGACGATACGGCCGAAGTTGTTGAAGGCATCGAGAGCAGCCTCGAGGTGCTCACCGCCGACGTTCTCGTAGTAGATATCAATACCCTCGGGGGCGAGGCGGGCCAGAGCAGCGGAGGGCTTCTCGTTCTTATAGTTGAAACCGCCATCGAAGCCGAGCTCGTTGATGATATAGTCGAGCTTCTCGTCGGAACCGACGGATCCAATGACGCGAAGGCCCTCGTGCTTGGCGAGCTGGCCGACCAGCTGGCCGACGGCACCGCTAGCAGCGGAGACAAAGATGGTCTCGCCCTTCTTGGGCTTGCCGATCTCGTAAAGGGAAGAGTAGGCGGTCAGGCCGGGCATACCAAGAGGGCCCAGGAAGACGCGGATATCTTCAATGCCGAGGGGGGTTCTCGAGCTTGCGGATGCGGACCAGGTTGGGGGCGTCAAGAGCAATGTATTCCTGGACAGCGACGTGACCGATCACCAGGTCTCCCTCCTTGTAGGTGGCATTGTTGGAACGGACGACCTTGGCGATGCTAGCGCTCTCGATAGGCTTGTCGAGGGCGAAGGCAGGGGCGTAGGACTTGACCTCAGCGGGGCGCATGCGGCCACGCATGTAAGGGTCGTAGCTAGTATAGAGGGATTGCAGGACGACACCGTTGTCGGGAGCGGCAACATTGGCATCGTAGGCAGCGGCCTCGATGGTGAGATCCTGACCGGGGACAGGGTATCCCTGGGGGATCTGCTTGAAGACGAGAGCTTTGTTGGACATGACGTAAACGATATTCAAGTTAATTTAGAGGTGGGATAGGTGGATGAGTAGGAGAAGATGAATTGATTCGGAAATGAACCTGACTTTAGATTACCGTACAACCTCGGGGGGGTTTTGAATTTATAGGAAGACTGAGAGACAACTTGAAGGTCAAACCGTCAAGCGGGGCAGCAAAGAGACCGAGGTAGAATTCTTGTTCTTTCTCTCTATTAGAAAGCAAAGTCGCCGCTTGCCGATGGGTCCCGGAGGAGCTTCTCGAGAAGGTTATAGTCCAAGGTTCTCACAGACCCACTGTTCTGCATCTGGTTGCATACAATCGACATTTTGAAACTAGGAAGTATCCAATGGTCACTGTATGTAGTACTTCCTTAAGACTAAAAATGACCGATGCCGAAGATTCGGGCAAATCATCCTAGAGGACTCTCAACAAAACACGCCACGAGAGCTTGCAAAAAGTTGAACGACTCCACTGCTGGCCGTGGTGGAGCTCGGATGAATTAAAGAAGAAGCAGGCCGACGGAAGATAGCCATTCTGGGTACGATCACCGTCGGCAAAGACAACGACCAATGCACCAAAGTCACCTAATGAATAATCAAGAACCCTGACTGATTTCTCAGCACGGAGCCGGTTACCGCATGCGGCCGGTCGCGGGGGAGGGGCAACAGTGCAAAGACGATCTGAGCATTCTCGATCGAATCTGACCCCTCAGCACTTAATCTGGGCTCGGCTTTGGATTGGCTGGGGAATGAAATGCCGAAACTTCTGAACTCGCTGAGCCATGTTCATTGGCACATTGGCACGGTCTTTGGATCCGTCAATTCATGCATATTATGATGTACAACTGACATGGGTACAACTACTATAATTAGTATACGAGTAATTGCATACAATGAACACAAGATGGATATAAATTCATAGATTTGATTATTTAGCGTGGTATATCGATTAGTCATTCTATCTATCGTCCAGTTCATGGAATCAGACGGGCTCGAGGTATCAAAGAATTAAGTCGCCCCCTCATAATTACATACGTCTCCAGGGTCTTCCTCTATCCCTCCCTCTTAAGCTGTTCCATCCACAGCACCTGCTGCCTTCGAGATGAAGTAATCCCGACCCTTGATCATCTTGACCATAAAGCTGAAAGGGACGATGCCGAACACCTGTCCGGTACCGCCGCTCTCGCCCACCGGGACGACCATCATGACACTGTCACCCTGGTTATAAGACTGGCGCTCGCCCTTGCCGGCAATGTCAGCTTTCAGGTTGTTGGCCGCGATTTTGGCCTGCTCCAATGTCTTGAAGCTCAGACGCATAGAGTTGTTGGTGATATCACCAGCGGCGTAAATCTTCTCAGCGGAAAGGACGCGCAGCTCCTTGTCGACCTTGACCCAGCCATCCTGATCCAGGAACTGCTCGGGGACGAAGCTATTGTTGGGCAGAGCGCCTGTGGTGGGGATGTAAAGATCGGCATTGATCTTCTCGCCGTTGCTCAGAGAAACGGTCCAGGACTTGGAGGCAGCCTCGCCTGAAGCTTCGACTCCACTTACTCGGGTAGAGTTGATCACCTTGACGTTCAACTTCTTGAGCATTTTTTCGGCGGTGGAACTGGCAGACGGCTTCAGCATGGAGAGAACCCGGTCAGTCGCCGAGACTAAGGTGATGGACACCTTGTTGCCGCTCTGCTTGACTGCATCTGCAATCTCGCCGGCGACTTCGATACCAATGGGGCCTGCACCGCCGATGACGATCTCCTTAGCACCAGAGATCTGTTGTTGAGATGCGGCGATGATTTCTTTCAGATCGTCGTGGTTGGTGGGCTTGAATGGAATTGATGAGCCGGTGATGGAGCCGTTGGATGACGCTGTCGTACTGCCAGACGCAATGACAAGGTAGTCATAGGACACGGTTCTGGCATCACCATCATTGGGGGTCACCGAGACGTTCTTGGCAGTGGCATCGATAGCAGTGGCGGATCCGGCAATGAATTCGAATGACTCGGCGGGGTACTTGGCGAATGCATTGGCGATGGGAAGCAGATACTGATCGGGTGAGAAGGCCTTTGCCTTGGCGACGATGCGAGGGGCGGCGATGTTCCAGTAGAAAACGGTGGATGGGTTGATGAGCACGACCTTGACATCGGGGACAGCAAGCAGAGAGTGGGCTACATGGAGACCTGCGTAGGAGGCGCCAACAATGGCAACAGTGGTGGGAGCCATGGCGGAGTTGTTGGTGGAGAAATCTGTGATTGAAGACTGCGGAGAATGTAAGCTATCAAGGCGGGACCAGGAGTATTTGTACTGGACCCAGTCACCAGTTACCAGCCCCCTTCATCACTAGTATCTGCCAGTGCATAATTTAGTCACACCCGGTCCATCTTTTACCAAAAGCAGAGCCCGCAGAAGAGGCTGTGAGAAGTAAAGGTTTGCTTTGTTTGTCAGCCACTACACGTTAAATGTGCCTGGCTTATCAATCCTGGCGCCACACAATGCTGCTTACTAGATGGGCGGTCGGCAGTCTCGTGATCCGTGACCCGAGTTCCGCTTACTCACCGGGTGTAGTAGAGTACACTCCATACTATATACCAGCGATCAATCGTGGCATCAGCTGAGAATATGTATTGTTTTTCACTGTTCACCTGGGCAATACCTAATGGCATCTGAATCGCTAGACACCTCCACTCTCCCTGTCCATCCCATAGGATCCCATATTTACCTTGGATCCACCATGTTAAACCATATTGGATCTGCCTGTCCTCTGATTGGTAGGATTGCAGGCTCTATCGATAAGGACACGTGATTCTAGAAAGTTTTCATCGCGCGCGAGAAAACCATCCGCGACATCGCCACAACACCCTTCCATTTCACCAATTCATAAATCATGTTTGGTGCCGTGCGTCGTTTCAGTACTGCCCACGCACTACGTGCAGTGGTGCCGCGCTCCACACATGTCCGCTGGACACCTCAATTGTTCAAATGGCAGCCGTCGTCGACTCTTTCCCCTGGCCTGACCCGGTCTTTCCAAACTTTCCCGGCCTTGCGCGAGGCCACTGCTGCTGCTGCTGCTGAGGCTGAGAGTGAGGTCAAGGAGACTTCGCAACAAGAAATCATCACAGAGTTTGCCGATCTGCAAACGTCAGGCCTCATCAGCCCTTCGCTGATCCGAAACATCACTGCCCCCAACCGCATGGGTCTGAAGACCATGACCGATGTTCAGAGTCAAACCATCAACCAAATGCTTCAAGGTGTCGATGTGTAAGTTATTCTTTTGCCTTTCGATGGCCCCTTCTATCCTCTCCCAAACCAGCCGCTAACTTTTTTCTTTTGGTTCAGTTTGGCCCAGGCAAAGACCGGAACTGGCAAGACGCTTGCCTTCCTCATCCCAACTATGCAGAACATCCTCAACGATCCCACATTCGTTCAGACTCGCAAAACTGGCCGTGGCCGTACCGGAGCCAGCTGCGCCGATATTCGCGCCCTCATCATCTCGCCCACCCGCGAATTGGCCGAGCAAATCGCTGCTGAGGCGATGAAGGTTGCAGCCAACACCGGTCTCATTGTGCAGACTGCTGTTGGTGGTACACAAAAGTCTTTTGGATTGAGGAAGATGCAGCGCGAGGGTTGCCACCTTCTCGTTGGAACCCCTGGTCGCCTCAAGGATATCTTCTCCGATCCCAGGAGTGGCGTTGCGGCTCCCGGGCTGAACACTTTGATTCTCGACGAGGCTGATCGTCTGCTTGATGACGGATTTGCACAGGAGATTAGAGAACTCCAGGACCTTTTCCCTGACCCATACAAGGTGGACCGTCAGACACTCATGCTCTCGGCAACCGTTCCCCGTGAGGTGATGAAAATGGTGGACCGAACTATGAAGCCGGACTACAAGTTTGTCAAGACCATTCGTGAGGATGAGGCACCTACCCACATGCGGGTGCCTCAGAAGGCCGTGTTCATGCAAGGATATGAAAATGTCCTGCCCACTATCCTCGAGCTTGCCAAGGAGTACAAGGCTCGCCAAAGTGAGGACCCCAGCCTGCGTCCATTCAAGGCCATAATCTACGCCAATGCCACAAGCGAGGTCTCACTCTATGCCAATGTCTTCGATGAGCTTCGTGTCTCCCCCGAGGACCGCAGCCGTCCTCTGGGCCGTATGGCCATGATTGAGATTCATTCCCGGCTCACCCAGGCCGGGCGCACTAATGCCGCCAACACCTTCCGAAAGGCAACTGAGGCTATCCTCTTTTCTTCGGATGTGACTGCCCGTGGCATGGACTTCCCGGAGGTAACCCACGTCCTCCAGGTCGGTGTCCCCCGTGATAGAGTGACCTACGTCCACCGTCTCGGTCGTACCGCTCGTGCGAACAAGACCGGTGAAGGCTGGATTTTCCTCACCGAGGGTGAGCGCCAGCATTATTACAAGCTCCTTAACGGTATTCCCATTGAGGAGGACCGCACTTCGTTCCCCGTTGCCGCCTACGACATGGCCGAGGGCCTGTCAGGTGAGCCTGATAGCTCCCTTGCCCAGACCACGAGGGCCATGGCCATGTTGCCCCCTGCCACTCGTGAGACCGCCTGGAAGTCCCAGTTCGGCACCCTCATTCCGACACACGGAGACCGCCGTGCCTGCGTCGCGGCGATGAACCGCAATGCTGTCCACGGATACTGCCTGCCCGAGCCTCCCGCTATCAGCGCTCGTGTCGCCCAAAACCTCGGCATCAGCCGTGTTCGCGACTTGCGCGTTGAGGGACCTCGCCGTAACTTCGACGACGACCGACGTCCCCGCGGTTTCGGTCGTGATTCCAACCGCGGCGGCTTTGGTCGTGACTCCGGCCGTGACTCTGGTCGTGACTTCGCCCGTGGCTTCGGCCGCAACTCAGACCGTGGTTTCAACCGCAACTCAGACCGTGGCTCAGATCGTGGTCGCCGGTCAGGTGGTTTCAACGACCGCCCGCCCCGCCGCTCGTTCAACAACTTCGTCGAGGCGGATGGTGGATCTGGCGGTCAATCCCGCGAGTTCAAACCAACCCGTCGGACCACCTTTGATGACGACTTTTGATCTGTGACACGAATTTTCCAATCCGTGAAGCAGGGCAATCGATAGAGTTACCTTGCCATCTTCGCATTCGGTCGGCGTTTCTATGTCTTTTGGCTTGAGTCCTTGTACAATATGCCCGCTGTCTTGATTCTTCCGCTTTACTTCTCACCTCATGTGTTATATTGCTCCAGGTTCATTGGGAACCCTCATGTAATTTCAAAAATTGTACTATACACAGGATACCATCTAGCAAATCATTCCTCTTACCATTTAGAATTCAAACTACATTGCAGCATGATAATACCATTCTTACTCTCAATCTTAGCAAAAACTTGAACACTGCCAGTGGCAATTAATACTAGTAGTTTGTACTATCTAGTCACTGTCTAAATATACCTATTTTACAACCTTAGGACTAAATAACTCCACCTACCTCGTGTCGAACAGTCCTACCCAAGAGGACAACAACCAACTGGAAGAAAATATCTAGCATATATGTCCCTTGGGGAATAAGTAACACCGCAAGCAGGATGTAAAGAGGAAAACCGTGTATAATTCAATAACATATCCCAGTATTTTGCAGTAACCATATACCAGAGACGGAAAAACAGAGAAATCTACCCAAAAGGAAGACACTTACAATAAATCAACCTCGGATAGGGGGATAGGAAGGAGGGGGACGAGGGGATAGAGGGAGGGATGGCAAGGGAAATAACACCTATCCGCGCATTTTCTTCATTCAAATCTACGCGCGGGCAATCATGTGCTCACGATTAGGACCGGTACCGATCCACTTGACGGGGACATTGCCGATCTCACGCTCGATGAACTCGATGTAGGCCTGCGCATTGGGAGGCAGGTCCTCGTAGCGGGTGACGCCCATGGTGTTGGATTTCCAGCCAGGGAGGGTAGCGTACTCGACCTGGATCTTGTCGACGACGTTGGGGTCGGCGGGGAAGGTGAAGGTAGTGCGGGTTCCGTCGGGAAGGATGTAAGCGACACCAACCTTGATCTCGTCAAAGTCGTCCAGGACATCGAGCTTGGTGAGGTTGAGCGCGGTGTAATGGTTGATGGCGTGGGAGTAGCGGGCGAGGACAAGGTCGAGCCAGCCACAGCGACGACGACGACCTGTTGTCACGCCGAACTCGCGGCCAATCTTCTGCAGCTTGTCGCCGTCCTCATTCAGCTGTTCGCTGGGGAATGGTCCGGATCCGACGCGGGTGGTGTAGGCCTTCAGCACACCGATGACGTTCTTGATGCTGGCCGGGTTGAGGGCAAGGGCTTGCACGGCACCGCCCAGGCCGGTGGAAGAGGAGGTGACGAAGGGGTATGTGCCGTGGTCGAGGTCCAGCATGAGGGCGTTGGCGCCTTCGACGAGGGTGTTGGGGGAGTCCTTGTGCTTCTGCAGGAACTCGAGTTGGTCGACGATGTAGGGCTGGAGCTTGGTGCGGTATTCCTATACATATTTGGTCAGAGAGCCGATTCTAATCCGCATGCACCCCAGACCAAATCCGATCAACCCCAGGCCGGGGTATTTCCCTTCCCCCCACAAAGTCTCAGATTCTAATTCTCCCCATGAACGTACCTTGAAACGGGCAATCTCATCCTCGACATCGTAAGAGATATCACCGAAGCGAGCGCGGTACGAAGTGTCAAGCGTGCGCAATTTACGCTCGAAGGTCACCTCGTCCAGAATCTCGCCGACGCGCACACCACGACGTGCAGCCTTGTCACTGTAGCAGGGACCGATACCCTTACCAGTGGTGCCGACCTTACGGCCACCGAGACCAGCCTCCTCCAGACCATCGACAACAGAGTGGAGATCGAAGCAGACGTGCGCGCGGTCAGAGATGAAGATGCGCTTGCTAGCGGAGGTCAGACCCTTGGTCTCGATCTGAGCGAGTTCCTTGAAGAAGCTGGGGACGTGGACGACGGTGCCGGCGCCGATCAGGTTGATACATGAAGGGGAGACCAGGCCTGAGGGCAGAATGTGGAAGTCATAGGTGACGTTGTCGTGGACGATGGTGTGGCCGGCATCTAGGAAGAGTAGGATTGAATTGAGCATTCGTTCAAGTTCGTTCAAGTTCCCATTTGGACCAGGATCATGAGTTAAAACTTACTGTGACCACCAGCAGCACGACAGCAGAGAGTCGCCTGCTGCGACAGCATATCGGTGATCTTTCCCTTCCCTGTACGAATCGAAAATCCGGCATCAGCATTTCAACTTGACTCAATTCTCTTTCCTTCTGCCTCTGCGGGCGACTCCGCGGACTCACCCTCATCACCCCATTGACTTCCTAAAACAATAGAGACCATGGTTGCGGTTGTGTATATGCCGATTCCAAATGTGTGCCAATCGCGATGCTTGGATATGCGTGGATTGGAGGATCAATTGCAATCAATTGTGTTAGTGGCGGGGAATTGGAAAAGAAGAGAAGTACGTCCGGCTTCGGGATGGCGGGGCAAAGTATTCTGGCGCGGGTCAGTGGTTCAAACTTCTCCCTCGGTGTACAATTGGGGTCACCCATTGGGACATAATGGGAGAATTAGAGGTAGGGAATTATTAAATCATACCGGAAACTTCAAAAGGTTCAAAAATTACACTCTACGGAAGAAAAGGGCACCCCGATGGATTTACATACTTGGAGTCCCCGCGGTGACTCCAAACGTGACTCATGATCGTATTTTTCCCGGCACAATCTTGGTATTTTACGGTATTTCTGTTACATGAAGTATGTCTGCCTCAGGCCTCATATTAAGAACTATGAACTACTACGAAGAACTACATTCTGGGGCAACACATAAAGACAGTGCAATCTCAATGTATACATGCAACCTCAAGGCATGCAGAATTAATGGACCTGAGGCTAATATCTATCAAATGCGAATCATATCCAGGGTATTCACCAAAAAAGACACCAAAGCCTAACCTAACATGCAAAAAACAGTGGCGAGTAACGCCCAACACGCCTCATTCATCGTAGAAATTCCAGACAACTCATTCAAATCACTTTTCCTCCTCTGCGAATCCACTCCCGAAGTCGCCCCAGATCTATGATACACTCGCGGTGCATCTCACAAGCCACATCCCAGTGCTTTCGTACCTGGACATCCTCTTCAATGCCTCGCAGGTACGCACTGTACCCACCAGTTCGACGATCCGGGACCAGGTCATCGATATCCGCCTCGTCAATTTCCGTATGACTGCGGCTCTTTTCCGGGGTTGCATCTCCATCCGCACCATTCATTCGCAGACGTGCTGTGTCGCCCACGGCACTTATCCAGCCCGGAGCGAGACCTGTTTCAATGGCATCTTGTCGGGTATTGAAATGCAGCAGCATGCGTCGACTGAAAATATTCCAGTCGTGCATATAGCTGCCCATAGTAGACACGTAATAATTCCATTTATCGCGAGAGAGCACGAGTTGTTGCGAGCCCGGTTGAAGGGGGATGAGCTCAGGTGCACGGGGTCGCTTTGGCGGGTTGGGCAAATCGAGAGTTCGAGGCCGAATGTCTTCTTTCGTGGTTGTCTGCTGTCTTGCTTTTGACTCGAATGGCAAGGTGGCAAAAACATCTTCCAGGTTTTCGATACCACCGCTGTTGGTGCTAGTAAATGGCGCCGTGTTGCGGAGATTATCCAGATTGAACAGAGGCGTGCGAGTCTCTGCCTTGGACGCGCCATTTACTGTGTGAGGTATTGCGGTTTCCTTCGATGCCGTTGAAGCATTTCCTGTGGCGTTTCCATTTAGATCCGGATAGCTTGCGTTTGCCGACCCACTAGCAGAACCATGCCCCGAGGCGGATGATGCAGTTGGATGAATTGGGGGCACTTCATCATCAAGATCCATGGCCTCAGGCTCGACCTCGGCTCGGGGAGTTGTGTTGACCCCAAGGGAGTACCACCATTGATTGTCTCTTTGTTTTCTTCAGCCTCGGTCGTCACTTTTGCCGGCTGGGGGTCGCTTTTTTTGTTGCCCGACCTGGCTGGCTTCTTGGGGCTCCGCAAAGGTGGAGTGTTTCCTTGTCGGGATTTGTGAGCATCCGATACATTCCAAGATAGATTCTGTAGCTGTTCGCTCCACTCATCGGCTGAGAACTTCGCTTGTGCAAATGGTGTCGGCGCCTGTTGCGGTTGGGGCTGTGGTTGAGGCCCAGTCCCTGTCGTGGGTGCAAATGAGCCAGTGGAATTTGTTGCCCTGCTCTGGCTTTGCGAGCCAGGCGAGGTACGTGATGGATTTGCTTCTGGGGTTTGCGTCGGGTCATTTATTGACATGTTTGCAAATTTGGGATGTGAAAAGTTTTCTGCCTTCCATGACTTAAAGTCACGGTACAGCTTTGCTGTTTTCTCCCTGTCCGCACTGCTCTTAGGTGATGACCGGAATGCGTCTTTGCTCGTAGCATGGGCACCAAGAAAATCGAACTTGTCTATATGTTCTCTCCAGTCCTCCTCAGAAAACTTCTTGTGCAAATTGCTGGGACTGTCCCGTCCAAAAGTTGGCTGGGAGGTTGGCTTGCTTTGGACTGAATCGGGGCTGTGAATTGGGGAGAATGGTAAGTTTGACTTCCTTAGAGAGTGGGGAAGAAGAGCATCATACCGTGAAGCAGGGTTACTGAATAGTCCTTGCTGGTTCTTAGGGAAAGCTGCACTGTCGGAATTATGTCCTTTGTCACGGTATAAGTCAGCATTTCCATCCTGGTATCCTGAGTTTCTTCGGTATTTCCGGAATCCTTCCGGAGACGGCGACAGCCTGAAGTATTTTTGGCCTTGTCGGGCACGAGGGTCCTCACCAGTGCTGGAGCTCGACTCATTGCCGTAGAGATCAGGGAACTTCTGACGATGGCGCATTCGACTCTTGGGTACGGCCTTCGGTTTGGGCTGAGGTTCGGGAATATCCTCTTCGTCATCGTCTAGGTCGCTGGAAGTTTCGGAGACTGAATATGCCCGATTGCGCCCGCTCTTCGGGCTGACACTACGGTGACGCCCGTGTTGACTCGGTGTTGGGCTGGGTGGGTTTGTGCGTGCACTGGAGGTTCGGTAGCCTCCGGATGGAGTGCGTACAGTTGACGAACGTCCAAGCCCGGAGCTTGTAAAGAATGTCTTCTCGCCACCTGCCGTCGCGTAGCGGCTACTGGCACGTTCATATTCTGGTTGGAACGGTGGTAGATCGGGAGCCACTGGTTTCTTTGCCGTGGGCGCTCGTGGAGGAGAATCGAAGTACATGCTGCTTGGCCGGCTGGAGCTGGTATACGCTGAGGTATTTCGGGCCATGGGCTCGTCATCTCCGGAGGCCCCAGGGGCATATCCGTTCCTCTTCTTGGGTGAATGGGGGGGTCGAGGAAGGATTCTGCGTTCGGTAACTTTCTTGGAAACGCTCATAGGCGGATTGAGGTCGTGTTTTGCCAAAGGGCTGATTCTGCTGCCTTGGTGTTCCCCCGGCGTTTGAACCTCCCGTATTCGGGTCGAATCCTCGCCAGCCAGCGGCGCCCCTCATTCCTGAGAAACCTTTGAAGGCATCTGCTCTCGTCTGACCCTCATCCTGTGGCTTGTGCCATGATTGTGGCCCCGCGCGGGCATGTGCTTCGTACCGTTTGGCGCCTGCGGACGGTCCATTTGACGCGGGAGGTGGTTTCGTAAAATGTGACGTGTTGTATTGAGGCCGTGGAGGAGTAGGTCTGAAGGCAGTTGGCTGAGGCTGTGCTCTCCGCGAGGTATTTGTCTTTGGAGGCCCGGAGACCTTTCCATAACCAGCGCGCAATCGGTCTGTATCGTACTTAAGACGTTGATGAGGGTCACTCAGAAGATCGTGAGCGGTTTTGATGGCTTGGAATTTGGCATTGAACTCTGCCTCCTTCCCGGGGTTCTTGTCAGGGTGGTATTTGAGCGCTGAACGTTCTGTTAGCACGAATGTGGATGTATTTTCTTGGAGTTCCCTTGTTTACCCACCTAGCTTCCTGAACTGCTTTTTGATATCATCTCCTTCCGCACTGGGGGCGAGCCCCAGGTCTGCATAATAGTCCTTTCGCACGTCGGCTTTGGCCATGTTGTTCCCGGTTTAATGCGGCGATACTAGAGTTCCAAGCCGTATCCAAAGGTCATCATAAGACGTCGTGTACCAACTCGGTGCTCACGCGCATGTCCGGGGGAAACAGGAAGAAAAAGTCGATGTTCGCCAACTCGGTCAATGCGCGTTACTTCTGGGTGCAAGCCAAAGCGAATGTATTGGGGCGAAACGAATGAGAGCGGCCCCAAGACGGAGCAGCGAGATATTCTCTGGAAAACCGACGAATGAATGGGTTGAGGGTGCTTTCGGTGGGAGTCGGTTGCCTGCAGGGCCCGCTCCGACAGGGCTGAGCGAACCTGGCACGAACTAGTGGAGGCGGGGGATTCGGTGCTTGCGATCACGGCGAATGGGCATGGTACGCGTCGTGGAGGTTGAATCGACACAGGGAGAAGTTTCTCGAGGGGTGTGGAGGGGAAGAGGGCAGGAAAGTTCGAGGGCGGGCAGAATCGTAGATCGGGGAGATCGTGAGATGGGCTAGGCAGTCGGAGGGTGAGCACAGGGCACTGGGCACCTGATGAGGTCGAAGTCAGGCTGTTAAGGTCCAAGCGCACTGGGGTAAAGTAGCCAACGAGATGCGACAAATAAAGTGTTAGTGCCTCAGCCTCTGGGGATGTGTTGTTTAAGGAGGAAAAAAGCGGCTGTGTTTGTTTTGGCGCGGGTTTGCTGCCCGATTCGACTTGGCCGGTCTGGGCCTGCCAGGACTTCCAGTACATTCTCCTTACAGAGCTGGATAATAGTAATAGTACTAGTAGTATACTATGTCCAAGATATTTCATCTTTGTATGTTTATATTTATAGATATATATATAGATAGTATATAAGGAATATATGGTATCTCAAAACTCAAGACACATTGCAAAATCCAAAATAGATCAAAACCAATATCAGAAAGAAAAAGAAAACAAATCCAAAACGGCCATAACCCCCGGACTCGCGGAACCGGTCCTTTTCCTGTTAATCCTCTCTGGCAATGCAATCCCTAATAAAGCAAGTAGCGGTGGTAGAGGTGAGGTAGAGGTGGGGATAGTAGATGGCGAAAAACCAGCAAAATCGTGTGGAGGGAGAGGGCGTGAAGGAGAGACGGGGGATGATGCAAAAAGGAGATACATAGAACATTTAAGAATTAAAGGAAAGTAAAGAAGAAGAGGATGGGGAGGAGCAAGAAGAATAACGAGGGGAGAGAGAGAGGTCAACACCTTATGCATCGCCGCCGGATGCGCCAGGTCCAGAGCCTCCGAAGAAATACCCTTCAAGAAGATCATAATTGGGATTTTCACTCCAATCATGCTGGAAGTCCATAGCCATGCCAAAGCCCAGATCAATGCCCACGTTCTGTCCCAGGTTGGGACCGAGTGGAGGCATATTAGCGAGGTGATAATCTGCATTCGCATCTGTTTCCATATTCGCGGGATGATCGGGATCCCCAGAGCTAAAGTCTAAGAAGTCGAGACTGATTCCAGCCTGGTTCTCCGGATGGTCGGCAGGTGGAACGCCGTGAGGGCCATTGGCAGAATGGGCGGCAACACTGCCAGGAGAACCGCTCTGCGGTGGCGAGTTACCATAGTAGAATTGAGGTTGAGGGGCTTGGGGAGAAGTGGCGTTTTCGTATTTCATGTAGTAATCCATCGAGGGAGTGCGCTGCGCGAACGGACGACCTGTGCGATCTGTTGCTGCGAAGCCCGGAGGTAGAGTCTCTGGGGCATCTGGTCGGACAGCATAAGGAGGTCCTCCGGGCCTGTTCTCGATCCTTGATCGATCGGCCAGAGGTGGTGGGTTGTCACTGAATAGGTCTGCCAAGTTCATATCGAACTTGGGAACTGGTCGCGATGCGCGAGTTTGGGTCGGTCGGCGAGGCTGACCCTGGCCCGGTTGCTGTCGTTGACCCATCTGCTGGCGCGTTCGGCCGTGATACAATGAGCTGCTTGCGTGAGACGATGTCTGCACACGGGACATGTCAACCTGAGACCCAAAGCCAGTCGTAGAGAGACACATCTGGACTGTGGCTTTGCTCATCCGCTCGAAAGCATCACGGCAATTCTCAGCAGGCGGACATTTGTGCATTAAATCACCCAGAACAGAGGTTGCTGCAAGGACAGTAAAATCGACTTCATCGAGAGTGAGTCGGCTTCGAACAAGAGGCGAATGCCAGATAGCATATAAGAAGGAGATTCCTAGAACATGGAGGTCAGTACTCAGTCAAGTTGGTCGCAGAGCAAGCAGTGGTTTCTTACCAGCCATGAAAATATGGTGAGTAGCAAGATATGTATAATTCACCAAACGCACACGGTGGAGCTGACGATAGATTCGAATCACTTTCTGGCCAGCTTCGGCAACATTCAGGTAGACATGGTCTTCTTCATCACCCTCATCAGGATTTGAGAAGGATGGACTGGAGACATCGTCGGCTGGAGTCAACTCGCTAGCTAGCTCTGCGGGTACCGTCAAGCTCTGCTGATATAGCAGAATAATGCCTTGCCAATAATTCAATTCCAAAAGTTCGATAGAGAATCGAACACCCGTATCCGCACGAGTTGGGGCGGTCTCGTGCCATTCCACCAGGCGACGGTGTACATCATGACGCCACGAGCGGAATGAATCAAATCCTTGGAGGAACGGCGAGGTAAGTTCAGCGTGGGGCAAGATGACCATGCTATCTGGGGCACGTCGTCGCACAGCACGGGCTTGCTGGTATTGAAGAACATCGTGGATCTCGGATTGAAGAAGACGCAGCTTGAAGTAATGGAAGGCAACATGCTTATAAGTCGGGGCTCCCTCGGGTGGTGACAGCAGTCCAGACTTGGTGATAAACTTGTCATCCATCATGGATGGGAACTCGGTGCTGATAGCCTGGTCGCTAATACCAAATGGCCGTCCGACGCAAGTGGCAACGAGACGGTCAAAGCTGTATACACACCACCAAAGGCGACGTCGCAGGTCACGAACCCATTCGCGTCGACCACGCTCACGCGCATCTATGCGGGGTTGAATAGGGTTACCGTCTTTCGATCCGATATCAAGACCAACGCCATCTTCATAGTGGAGGCCCAAATCAACTGCTAGGCGCATAGCAACACCCACAATGTACCACAAACCCGGCGCAACAGGTCGTAGTAGCGCAAAGCTGGCCAACAAAAGCACCGCTTGAAGTTCTTCCAACCCACCAAAGCCCTCACTAGATGAGGAACCCAGGAAAGATTCCAAATGCACAATCGCCGAGGCATGATACTCCTCTGGCTGGTATTGATGACTGGACAACCTTGGTCGCTTGGTTGTGGACGAGGCTCGGTCACGGCCAGCGCGGCTCTCCTCATCTGAACTCTGGGGCTTATCGTCAAAGATGATCCCAGCACCGATAGCAAACACGATGTTGAGGATATAAAGAGCGCGTGGGGATCGGTTTTTCTCTTCCAGCTGATATGTTCGATCTAAAAGTTCCATGAATTCCGGGCGATGGAGAATGGGCATTTGGGGGTTGGCGTGTTCGAAATAGAGATCGATGAGTCGCTCGGCTAGCTCGCGGTCAGGGAAGGATGCACGCTTCATCATCGGCTTTGTCTGGAGACCGAAGAAAGAATCACGCATGGTGCCTCCAGGGCCACCGGCGGCTGTTTGGGGAGACGGTCACTTGTCCGGATCGAAGCACGCTCGGGTATGTTGCCTGGCAGCGAACTTCTCACTGCAGCAAACACAACTCGAGCAAATGATATACCGGAAGTTGAGCCAAGATATCGAGGATCCGATGTGCCTTGCACCGAAACCATGCCGATATTTGATACCAAGTTGTGCAGGCGCCAATTGTCTTCGTTGGCGGGATCGCGAGCACCTTCTGCAGTCTGTTCCACATCCGCCCTCTGCTCGGATCGGTCATTCTCCTCCTTCAGCGCTGGATTCTTCCATTGTGTCTTTTCTGAGATATCAATGGCGTTTCCGTCAAGAGTGGATGAGGGTTGCGCAACGTCGGGTTCGGTTTCCGTTTTGACTGCCTCCTCTTCGTCAAAAGCAACGGCTTTCTTGAATTCTATCTGATGCTCCGCCAGCTGTTTCTCTAGGTAGGCGACTCGGGTTTCTAGGAAATACACGTAACTACGTGGTATCTCTCGCTTGGTAATAGGGTCATATCCGACGCAGCGGACACCGGCCTTTTCACAGGATTGGCATCGTGGGAGGCGCTGGTCACAGCGGTTCTTGCGTAGTCGACAGCGATTACAGGCGGACACGTTTCGAAATGAGGAAGAGGATGCACTCGAGGCAACGGTGGCAGTTGAATGCGCCGGCGATGTGGAGGGCCCGGCAGCCGAGGTGGAGGGGACATGCGACGTCGCGGGGTCCGATTGAGTGGGCGATGTATCGTTGGAGGGGTGTGGTCTCTTCTTCCCCGAGGAAGAGAGGGGTGATGGCGGGGAGGGAAGGTTAGGCATTTTGAGAAACGAGTGGTGAGGGTCGCAGACTTGCGATCATCTCTTGGTGGAGTTCTGCGGAGATAGCGGTCGGGAACAGCGGTAGGACACCCCGGGCCGAATCAGCGTTCATGATAGACCGGTGAGGTGTAGCAAAGTTGTCGCGGAGCAGGGACACGGTTCTTGCGATCCAGCACGAGAGAAAAGGAGGCGGCCCGCACTTCTCAACTTGATTGCGGCGAACAAGCTCTCTCCGCGGCGCAGGTGTACGCGACGGAGGGTGAATATCCTCCGACAAGTGGTTGAGCTAGGAAAAGCCGGCAGTTCAGTTTAGGGGCGGGTCTCTGGCAGTTCTCACATATAAGACTCGAATGTCGCGACACCTAGAAGAACAAATGGACCGGTCCTAGATGGACGACAAGGCGATGCACGAGGAGAGAGTAGCATCGGATAGGGTTCTGGTGGAGATTCGGGTCAGCTGTGGGTGGCCCATCCAGAGACTCTCCGGATATTAAGTTTCCCGAGGGCATGGAGAAGTTCCATCTTTGCTCGGCATCTCGGTACCCCAGATTTCTCTTTGCTGAAAGATGGGGTCATTGGGATTGGGGGGGAAGGTCACAGCGATAATTAGTGACTAGTCAGCATTGATCCTTTGGTTAGCAATTGGCCCTGAAGACTAGCCATTAACTAGCCATTGCCGTGCGACGCAGTAGTTGGCGCCGGAGTCGAGGTGTCAAGTGGATCTCCCCGGGATATATGTCCTGCCATTGGTGGAGCCGCGGAGAACTGACACTGACAGCTGGTGGGATGAGGGGGAGAAGAGGGTGTGGGATTTCCAAGGGTAATAAGGTGAGTGAAGTGGAAGCCTTGGAGGCCGGGGGAAGGTCGGAACTTTTCTAGGTTCAAGTTCTCAACCCGAGACAATGGTGCGGTGACAACTATTTATGATGTGCATGGCCTGATTGCCGTTCTGCACGGAAGGTGGTATAATACTACGAGTGGAGATCCTTGGCTTGCAGTCCTGCCAAAAGACTCGGACCTACAGTGCTTACTCCTATTTAAATGTCCGTTGTGGGGGCCTCTATACCATGAAGAGAAAAAGAAGAATGTAAGTGAACAGGCCCGAGTGGTAAAGTCGGGCCGTTGAAATTGATCAAGTCTGTGACTGTGAAATCTAGGTATCTTGAAAGATTCAGTGGTGCCTGGATAGAGCTACCAGATTATGTGAAAAACAGAATAAAAAAACTTGAACAAAAAGAAGAGCAATGAAAAACATAATGCAAAAACGAAAAACACAGGTAGCCTCCCAGATGCATGAGTATCATCATAATATATCCCGTTTCAATGCTCCAAGGTTCAAGAAAATGACAATGACAAAACATAACACAATATAGATAAAGAGAAGAACGAGATCCGAATTCGAGACTTTTTTTTTCGCAGATGCATCCCTTCTATGACAGTTGCGCCGTGTCCTGCTCTTCAAATGAGGAAAGAAAGCAGAGAGGAAAAAAAAGAAAAAAAGAAAAAAGGAAAAAGAAAAAAAAAAGGGAACATGAAAATAGAAATAGAAATCATGAGGTCAAGGGGAATCAGGTATCATGGCTGGAGATGGAGAGAGGAATGAAGAAAGTGCCTATAGTAGGGCAGCAGGCAGCAGCGCTGGCAATGGTGGAGTCTTTCCAGAAGACCGATGTAGAAATTGAAGGGGAAAAAAGGGAGAAGGAAAGGAGAAAGAAAAGCAATGAGCAAGGCGGATCGCTCAGTTTCTGTTTTTCTTCGATGCCGGAAGGCATATGACGAGAGGGTTTAGATCAAATGCGAGGAACTGACGTCAAATCCTCATCGGAAGTAGGCATGGTCAAGTTCAGGTTTGAAACGTCGTAGTCGTGGTCAATGCTGGAACGTAGAGAAAGCAATCGCTGCTCCTCTTCCGAGATCGTGGAGATAGATGTGCGCGGAGTGAAAGGCTCCGAGAGGGCTTCTCGCTTCATCTCCGCCTCACTCACTTCAGGCTGGTCGCTGAACCGCTCAGGCTCTGAAGATTCCTCCATCCAGAAGCTCTGGAATGCACCAATCAAGCAGACGAGACCGCAGGCCCACCATGCCAGCACGGAGTGGCCGCTCTCAAGCCCCTTGGAGTGCAGAAGACCGGTTATTGTCGGACCAAAGGCACGACTGAGGCTAGCAGTGGAAGCCGCAGCACCGTTGATAGAACCCAGGACCTTGGATGTGGGGGCGGCATTTGCAAGGATGATGTTGATGGCGGGGAAAGTGATGACATGGAAGGTGATCTTGCTGATCAGGGCGACGTAGACGGCTGGCATCTGCAATTTAGCCGGTAGGAGAATAAGATAGGGCACGGCCAAATAAAGTGGTGGCCAGATAAGCAGCACAAAACGGAACGTGCGCACAGTGCCAAAGTGCTTGACAACGAATGGGAATAACCACAGTTGGGCAATCATGGAGTAGACACCCTGCACAGCCAACATCAGACCAATGGTCTTGGTGGGAAGCCCGAGACCACCAGTGAACTCAAAGGGCAGAACAACGCGGTCGTCGGATTTGGGTGTGCTCAGAAAGACTGGCATCAGCTGATCGAAAGAGACGCTGTGGCTGCAGAAAAAGAAACAAGGTTGTCAGCATCATGGAAATCGGCGGATCGAAATGCAACCCACGCCAAGGGGGTGGAGGGGTAAGAAAGGGCCAACTCACTATGCCAGAATGCCGTAAGCAACGATGGTGATGATGACTTGTCGGGTGAACGCTTTGGGAGCGGGGAATTTCTGACCCTCGAGGTCACACTCGGAGGTTGTTGAGGCGTCCTTCACGGGGCGCAGGCAAGGCGATGATTCGGCACTTTCGTACTCGGGCGGCATATCACCGTAGACAAAGTACTTGGTCTCTTCGACCACGTCGGAATCCTCGGGGAGTTGCACACGCGAACCCCAGCATTGGTTGATGAGCCAGTGGCCCAACTCCACGCCAGGGTCACGGCGGTGCTTCTTCTCTGGGTGGGTCTCTTCCAGAAACAGGGTACCGACGACAATGCCGCAGATCAGAACGATGATGCAAACCAGATTGGGCAGCAGGAATGGAAATTGGTCAAAGAAGGTATCTCGCGCAAAGAGCCACGGATAATTCTCGCAAGGCTGGGCCAGGGCACCGCCCATAGCCGGCCCAACGATCGAACCGATACACCAAACAAAGGGCATGATAGAATAGGCTCGAGGCTGATGTTCCTTGACCGTGACGATCTCAGCCACAGTCGTCTGAAGTACACCGATATTACCATTCAGCAGACCCCCCAGAGCGCGCGCAATCATCGCCGTCGCCAGGTTGGGCGCAAATCCAAAGGCTACCATGCTGATGGCAGTTCCTACCAACCCCATGATGAGCACAGGCTTCCGGCCGATGCGGTCGCTCATTCGACCCCAAAACATGCCAGCGGAGAATTCGGCGAAGGTGAAAGAAGAGGTGATCATTCCGGCGTAGAGTGCAATTTTCTGGTCGTTGTCTGTCACATGGAATGATTCCACCATGTGATAAACATATGGGAAAATGGACATGAAAGCAATAGGTTCACAAATTCGGACCAATGCTACATCTTGTCAGCACCTGTTCTCAATTGTCGAGTGGCCATCATGCTGTTCGACATTGTCCCATATTCACGGGACAGCCACATAGTTCGCAATGCAAGCAAAAGTACTGTCACTTACCTAACACGAATAATTGTCGAATGGGAAATTTGGACCAATCTTCACCGGATCCATGGCGTTGTCGCCGGCCCTGTAGACAAGCTGGCCGTTTAAACATTGTGATCGAAAATGAAGAAAGCAAATCACGACAATAGGGGGGAGAAAAAAGTAGTCGAGGGGAAAAAAGAGAGCTGTCAGAAGCTGTGGTCCCAGAAAAAGTAAAGAGGCGTAGTAAGGACCCCACTTCACTCCGGAGATACGTAGTTGACAATCCCAAAAATAAAAAAGGGCAGGGAAAAAAAGTACCAAATAGGTCCTTTTGATTTTTGGGCCTGTCTCCTTAAGACTGACTACCCCAGGTTAATGCGTCAGGGTCGGAAGGGAGAGAATGTAATTGGTGTGAAAGGCTGAACTTCGGATCGGAGCAAGGAGCGTGGACTGATTTGTTTTTAGGGCTTCAGCATTGCTCCCCCTGCGGTTGGAAATTCTATCGCAAGTCCGATAAGGTAGGGTAGGTGATCCTCGGGTCGCAGAAGATGGCAGAAGACTATGAGACAAACTGCAAGGGAGTAGAAAAGTTCCGGAAGTCTTTTTTTTGGATCTTCAGGAGGAAGTGCGAGCGAGAGCGAGGACAAAGTTTAGTGCTCAGGAACCAAGGCGAAAAGAATTCCGGGAAACTTTGAATCTTGATGCTCCAGAATATCGTAGGATCGACAGATAGCGCAAATCAAGAGATTGGTAGAAGGGGGAGCGCGAGAGGTAAGTCGAAGTGGATGGCAAAGGGCGGTAGGAGGAATGAGGAAGGGATCTATAAAGAATCCTGAGGAAGGGGGTATGTGTATGAAGAGAGAGAAAGGGTCTGAGGTTTCCAAAAGGTTGAGAGAGGATGATGATGAGCAAAAGGGAGTCATTCCATGAGGACGAGGGGAAAGGGGAGTTATTATATTAATGCGCGGGTATCGACAGTGGATAGCTCCATCTATAGACAGCCGATGTGATCAGGCGCCAAAAGAGACTAAAACGTCGACCGTTCAGAATTTGAGAATTTTGGTTACAGCTGTACAGAAAGGCGCAGGATGCATAGAGCAGCAAACATGTTATGTTAAATCAGGAATAGAGACATAGGGAAGTGGGTCGTAAATTATTTATTATTATTTTTTAATTCCCGTTTTATTTGAATTTTATTTAAAATTTGGCTCAATTTGATTTTGGGGGAAGAGAGACAGAGTGTGTGGTGAGTGAGAGAGGGGTGTGGAGGGAGACTATTTTAATTGAATTTAGTTTTTCTATTACTCTCCCACACCTTAAAAGAAAAGAAAGAAAAAT